CCGACCCCTTTAGATTTTGCTGAAACTTTTCCATCCTTTTCTACCCCTTGAAAAACATTTTTGAAAATTTTTTCAAATTTTTTTGTCCAACCTCAAAAAAGTTATGAATTTAAAAAAAAAATGGCTTTTTTATTTTCAAATAGCCATAACTTTTTTAGAATTTGACTTTTGGGTACCTTTTTTTTTAATTTTTGTTTTTGAATGAACTTTTTAAAAAAATACACGAAAAAATACACGAAAAAAATTTAACATGATCAATTATATAAAATAATCGTTTTTTTTTAGTAAAATCGTCATTTTTCGAAGTTCGCCATTTTTTTTTTTGTTTTTTTTTTCTCAAAAAAAACTTCAATTAATTTGACAACTATCCCCGCTAATCCCGGAGTGGGCCGATTTTTTTTTAATTTTTTTTTATTTAAAAAATTGTCGAATTTTCTTTGACAATTTTTTTTTAAATAAATAAAAAAAATACAAAAAAAAATCGGCCCACTCCGGGATTAGCGGGGATAGTTGTCAAATTAATTGAAGTTTTTTTTGAGAAAAAAAAACAAAAAAAAAAATGGCGAACTTCGAAAAAATGACGATTTTACTAAAAAAAAACGATTATTTTATATAATTGATCATGTTAAATTTTTTTCGTGTATTTTTTCGTGTATTTTTTTGAAAAGTTCATTCAAAAACAAAAATTAAAAAAAAAGGTACCCAAATGTCAATTTCTAAAAAAGTTATGGCTATTTGAAAATAAAAAAGCCATTTTTTTTTTAAATTCATAACTTTTTTGAGGTTGGACAAAAAAATTTGAAAAAATTTTCAAAAATGTTTTTCAAAGGGTAGAAAAGGATGGAAAAGTTTCAGCAAAATCTAAAGGGGTCGGGTTCAAAAGTGGTCGATTTGGTATGGAATACCCCATATACGAACTACTCACCACAGTACTGAAATTTTGACTGGAACTATACGTGCATTCATCACAACTTCGCCGCTTGCATTGTTTTCAAGATGACTATCGTGCAAAGGGCGGGCTCTGTAGGTAATTTTTTTACCAACACTTGAGTTAAAACGAGGACGACGTTTAAACTTCAATATTTCGAAGGAATTTTGAATTTTAACATTGGACACAGAACTGACGGGTAAAAGTAAGTACAAAGATTATCAATTTTTTAAAAATTGCTATAATTCGAATCTATGACAAAATATAAAAAATACAATATTTAATGTTTTATAGTTTGTAGTGAAATTGAAAAATTTAAGATAAATTGAATATATTTTAAAATAAAATCACTCAAATATTTTTAATATTTATTATGTTTTTCTACAAAGGTGCTTTTGAAAAAATACATTAAAATTGGGTGGACAAGTTAAAAAAACCTGTATCTTTTGTAATATACTAAAATATTTACAAAAAATATTAAAATACCTACTCTATTGACTGATGACATCAAGTTGTCCAACTTTTGTAAAATCACCCATAAGAATATATTCATATCATTCAATATATTCAAAATTGAGCGTCAACTGTATAGCCCAAACCTTGAACCATCAGACAACCACTTGTTTGTAGTTGGCTTTCAAAGAAACCAACTTTTTTTAAAACATTCTGACAATAAAAAAATCTGAAGACTGACAACCGTGAAAAAAATAATTTTTCATTTTACCAAGTATTTTTTCTTGAACAATGGTAAATAACAGTAAATCATTCTAAAAAGAGCGTATACATTTAAAATTAATTGAGATATTTTTGACGTTAAATGATAATTTTTGGTGGTTCATGGGTTTTATTCAAAGAGTGAAACCAATTATTTTGTAAAGTTCTGGTAGTCGGCCAATACAATTAATATTTGCTTCGTTAATTTTGTTTTGAACTTGACCTTAAATTATACACACTGTGGACAGCACAAACATCTGGTTTATAGTAACGCAGACAATAGTTAAATACCAATAGATAAATACAGTAAAATAACATTTTTTTCTATGAGTGTGTTCTTTTATAGTGTGTGTTAATGATTTTACAATTCCACACTTGATTGCTTGGTTCCAAGCACAAGAACAAGAAAAGAATTCAAGAGGCTCTGCTACAATACCTTTTCCAGATTGTCAATTAAATGGATAATTAATTAGTCAATCCTAATGTTTTACTACAAAAAATTATCCAGAAAAATGCGTGCACAATGACAGAATAGATTCGTTAGAATTGTACAGCTCAGGTGAAAAAGAATTTTAATTTCTTCTTCGATGATACTTTTATTTATTTTGTTCGTTTTTATTAAAGTTGCTTAACTCTAATAAACTCTAAAAACCTAGCACATATTACTTAGCCCAATAAGAACTTGACATTTGATATTTCAATAATATCAATAAACTTAAAAAATGTGCTTTATTTTTGTTTACTTATGTAGGTAAGTTTAAAACAACAAAAACCATAAACAAAAACCCTAAATATATTTCATTACACTAGCAATAATACAAACTAAACAATATTAAAAATTTAAGACTTCAAATGCAGAAATTTAAACCCAAATTCAAATCATAAATCTGCAGGGGTGTTTCCCTGGGTTACGCTGTATATTTTGACAAATTCACCCTCACACGTTTAGTTATACACTTTACCAACCAAATAATTGTCTAGGTAAATATATACTGTATGTTTGAAAAATTATATTTCAAAAACACATAAATAAATAAATAAAAAACACCACGTGGGGTAATAAAAATAGTGAAGCCTTACCTTAAATAGTACAAGAAGTAAAACTTATTGTGAGAAATAATTATCCAGTGGGTACCTAGCTAGTTATCGCAGTAGAACTAGTCGGTATTCGCGATATTACACAGGAGAAAAGGTACCCAAAATAACTTCAACAGCAGACGAGAGTTCGTTCGATAAAATAATTTTCTTTAACGCACGCGCAGACCGTCTCACGACCGCACCGATATATTGGAAGTGTACTACTACGAGACGTACAAAATGTTCGGTAGTTGTTGGATACGGCTCTTCTAGAGGGGGTGGGAGAATGGACACGGCTGGGGGGCCGAATCATCGATAATATGATTCATATAGTCGCTTTGCTGTTGGAATGCCCCTTATACTTTTTTTCAGTGACTGTCATCTATCTGATTCCAGTAGCTCCATAACCAAATCCAAACCCAATTGAAAATACGGATATCTTGTATCGTTTATGATTTTAATAAAAAAAACAATAGGTACAAAGAATAGCGATTGTGTTAATTAAGAGGATTTTTTCCTTTTCTTCATGTCTGTCCGCTACAATCAGACTGTGAACGATTAACATTCGTTTCTGCTTAAAGAAACGTACAAGAAACTAATATGAATAATAAACTTAATCAAAGAAAAACTCCTTAAAACATTTTTTCTACTCCCACCTTTAAAACGCCCTTTATCGTAGGGGAGAGTGGGTAGACATTGGACAATTTTTAGATTTTTTTGCCTGGGTCTCTTAGAAATGTAATTATTTCTAATTTCAAAGTTTCAGGTAATAGTGTTGACTTTTGAAAACGCATGTGCACTTTAAACCGTAAGATGGGTTTGCTACGAATTTTTGAAAATTTTCGGTCATCTGTCCAAAGTCACCCCACATCAGAGCAAAACTTATTCAATACTAAATTGCGATAAATTAAAATTAAAGTAAATCATGTTATGGAATCGAACTCCGTCAGTGGGGGGGAAGAACCAATACCACGTCCTTAAAATCCACCAAGGCTTCATCTTCATGTGTTTCTTTAAATCTGTATGATAGAAACTGCCTTTTAAGGAATTTGACTGTATATCCTTGGTTTAATTTTTGCAATATTCTGCTAACGAAGTGCCGGGACTATGTTTGGACAATAGAGGAAGACTCTAGACAGTGTGTCCAAACTCTCCCTACATGATGTGAAACAAAAAAAATGTTCATAATTTCAAAATATAGCAACGGAATAAAGTAAGGATATAACAAAAGTTCCATGCTTTATACATGCTTTAATATGTAGTAACTTTAAATTATTTATCTACAACGGTCTGGTCAGAAAAGCTTACAAGGGGAAAGTAAAATATTACATGAAAAAACTCAAAATAAACTTTTCCACTTACCTCTTCTACATCTAAACTCAAACTTATTTCACTACCACTATTTGATACCTTACCAACTTGACGATGTGTAATAGTAGAACCAACCTGAAATTTTTACTGGAACCGCGAAATTCGTCCATTGTCCATTGTCTCCCAGTGTCCAGACTATACCCACTCTCCCCTACATGTTTCCATGACACTAAGTGACCTTTTAAATACACATTGACAAGTTGTGGCTTTACGGCGCTTTAGTCACGGGCTGAAGTTAGCAACAGGTTTTTAGTCACGGGCTGAAGTTAGTTTTAAGTTAGTTGACAGTTGTCAAATGTCATACAATCGCTAAAATAAAGTGCCTTTCTTGTAAAATAATAATCAATGTGAAAATTATTTTATTATCTCAATACAAAAATACAAAAGTATTAAATAGTTTCTCAACGCCAATATTTGAAAAGTTTATATGAACATTGTACTGACCTTTATTTCGCCGGCAGTAAACTATAACTTAAATTCGGGCACGGACTCCACTGTAAAGTGCTCATAAAACATTTTCTTTACTTTCACTGTAAAAAACTGTCAATTTTCAAGAAATACATTTCGATTTATAACCTTTATAATATAAAAATTTGACATTTGACGGTGACACACAGATTCCCCTATTGTTTCATAGATGGCGCTCTATACAAATTTTTGATCATTTTAAGATAATAATAAGTATTTGTCGTAGAAAAAGGGCATATATGCACCTCGTTTATAAACATTTCTATATACTTATTAATTTAAGCACTCGCTCGCAAGCTCGCTCGTGCCTAAATTAATATCGTGTATAAAATGGCGTTTATCAAACTTGATACATAATATACTATTATTTCATACTGTCGAAACTACCTACGTAAAGTGACTTTAAAAATAAGATTTTTTTGTCAAAAAATAATGTCAATGTCAAATGAGACAGGTTCTATAAGTCAAATTATTTTGAACAGTTTAATGTGATGGGTTTTTGATAAATCTTATTTAATTTAATAGGTGAGTGAGTTGTACTTAATTAATGTTATTAATGATTTAAAACATTAAAGTTAATTTTCTTAAAAACATAAAAATTAACAGAGTGATAAATTTAATAAACTAAATATAATTAATATAATTAACGCAAGTAAATTGCTTCTAAACATTAAAAAACACTTATTTATTATCAAAAAAGTCTCAATTGCCAATTAATATTTTTTAGCTACCTACTGGAAGAAGTATTAATTTTTATAAACATGTCATTAATAATAAATATTTATTCTTTAGAATCCACGCCTTATTAAATTAAACGATTCGAGTTCATGGTTAGATATCTAATTGGTCACGCTTTGAGTAGATTTTGTACTTTGCTGAACCAATCGTTATAAATATTTGTTTTAATCATTTACTTTACAAAAGTAAACCTAACTACAAGGCTCTATCATTTAGTTTCTTCACTAGTTTTTTCTTTAGTTTCCTTTCCATATTTTCTTTTAGTTTTTTCTCTAGTTTCTTTTCTAGTTTATTATATAATTTATTGTTTAGTTTATTCCATATTTTCTTTAGGTTTTTTTGTTTTTTTTACCTATTTTTTCTAGTTTTTTGTTATTAGTTTATTTTATGGTTTCTTCTTTTTTATAGTTTTTTTCTAGTTTATTAGTTTATTATCTAGTTTATTTCCAAGTTTCTTTTCTATAGTTTATTTTTTAGTTTCTTCTTTAGGTTTTCTAGTTTGTTCTTTACTTTTTTCTCTAGCTTCTTCTCCAGGTTTGTTTCTAGTTTCTTTTTTGGTTTCTTCTTTAGTTTATTTTCTATTTTTATTTCTTCCTAGTTTCTTTTTTACTTTCTTCCTTGGTATCTTTTATGGTTTATATAGTTTCTTACCTATTTTATTTTCTAGTTTTTTCTTTAGTTAATTATACAGTATACTTTCTTCCTGAGTTTCTTATTTAGTTTCGTTTCTAGTTTTTTTCTAGTTTCTTTTCTTAGTTACTTCTCTAGTTTCTTTCCTAGTTTCTTCTCTAGTTTATTTTATAGTTCCTTTTCTATGGAGCATACTTTCTTCCTTAGTTGCTTCTCTGGGCTTTTTTAGTTTCTTTTCTAGCTTCTTCTCTAGTTTGTTATTTAGTAACTTCTCTATTGATCATACTTTCTTCTTGGGTTTCTTCTCTAGTTTTGTTTCTAATTTTTTATAGTTTCTTTTTTTATAGGTTCTTTTATAGTTTATTTAGTTCCTTCCCAGACAGCAATATGACGTCTTAATTAAGTCTGAATAAGCTCTATTTTATGATTTGGACGTCAAATACAACATCAGAAAGAAGTTTTTAAGCAGTTCTTAAGACTTTGAATGCGCCACCTATTGAACTAATCAAGACTTCTCAAAAAATAACTCTTGAGGAACCCTTTTCTTTGACTTCGCAATTAAGCATTTTAAAGAGTCCTACTGTATAAACTTATAAAAAGACTTCTTTAGAATTTTCCGTTTGGATATAGAAGTACTAGTAGGGTACTGATGAAGAAATTGCATACTGGATCGTTGCTTATTTTGATATGTCAAGTTTATTTTATTAATTTTATTAATTTGTTAAATTTATTTTATTAAAATCATTTTAATAATTAGCTCGTATTTGCTTATTTTAGGAATTGCGATTACTTCGTCTCACTTTTGTTTAAATTCAAGCGTGCTCTTCACCGGCACCGATAGACGGCCTGTTTCGCTCTTTTGGAGCTCGTCAGTATCGGGTAGCCGTTTACCTAGGTCTAAGACCGTTTGGTATGGAGCACGCTCTAAATTCTACTTCGCCGCTTCTTATATCAAACACAAGCAGTTACAGCGGTGAGAAGAAAGTAATCGCATTAAAATGTCATAAATGTGACGTCTCCATTTTGACTTAATAGTATGTTTTTAATTGGAAGTAAGAAAAAAGAATACTCTGTAAGCTCAAAATAAATTGTTCTGTAAGCTCAAAATAAATTGTTCAAAAAGAGGTCAAGAAAAGATCTTCATTTGTACGTAAAAAAATTATTTATGAGTTCATTAACAGCTCAGAATTCTGAGCTCATAAAAAGGAGCTGTTTAAGACGTCATGTTAGAATTTCTACACGAAGTTGTTTAAAATACTTCATACTGAAATCTTTCTGAATTGGATGCTGACTGGGTTTTAGTTTATGTTATAGTTTCTTACGTATTTTCTTTTCTGATTTATTTCTTGATTTCTTCTCTAGTTTTTGGTTTCTTCTAATTTCTTTTTTACTTTCTTCCTTATTTTTTTTCTAGTTTCGCTTTTAGTTTCTTTTTAAGCTTCTAGTCTAGTTAATTCTCTTCTTTGTTTTTTGCTAGTTTATTTTTTTAGGTACTTTCTTCTTTCATTGTAGTTTCTTTTTTAGGTTCTTTTTTGGTTTCTTTTCTATTTTTTTATATAGAGCATTCTTTCTTCCTTATTTTCTTTTCTAGTTTCGTTTCTAGTTTCTTTTATTGTCTTTTGCCCATTTTCTTTTTTAATTTTTTTCCTAGTTATTTTTAGTTTTTTTCTTATTTTTTTTTAGTTTCTTCTCTGGTTTTGTTTCTATTCTCTGTTATAGTTTCTTACCTATTTTCTATTATAGTTTTTTTTATAATTTTTCTTCTTTTTTTCTAATTTCTTTTTTAATTTGTTATCTGGTTTCTTCATTATTTTTTTCTTTAGTTTTTTCTGGTCTCTTCTTTATTTTCCTTCTTAGTTCTTTTATATTATTTTCTTCTTTTTTCTAGTTCTTTTTTTGTTTCTAGTCTAGTTTCGTTTCTAGTTTCTTTTATAGTCTCTTACCTATTTTCTTTATAGTTTCTTACCTAGTTGTTTTCTATGTTGTTTTTAGTTTATTCTCTATTATTTTCTCTAGATTTTTTTGTTAGTGTCTTTAGTTTATTGTTTAATTTCATCCTTAGTTTCCATTTTGGTTACTTTTTAGTTTTTGTTTATTTTCTTGTTTAATTAATAGATTTTATACAGTACAAAGTTCTATTTCAGGTTTAGGCTTTCCAATTGGTCGTTTGATATGAAAGAAGATACAAATTTTAGCAGAAGAATGGTTCTTAGTAAGTTTAGCAACACACCTCCCTTTCATATGAAGTCCAACGAAACCTTTAGCCGAGGTGAATCTTTACGAAAAATATTACAACCTGAAAACCCCGACTACTGTAATGAAAACGACCCATTGTAATCTACCTTGTCATATTTTTATTTCTGTGAATAAGTTGTTTGTTTTAGTTGTGAATGTGGAAGAAAACCAGTACATAAGCACATGGTTTGTAGTCAATCAGAACATAATAGAAAAAATAGTGAGAAATGGTAAATTTTGACAAAATGTATTCCAAACTGTATTTGACTCTGCCTAATTTTCAGTTATGTATCTAGACGTAAGCACCAATCGGACACATTTCCGCAAAGTAATTGTCCCAAAATTGATCAACCAGCAAAAAATATAAGCAGAAAAGAAATGGTTCAACAAAAACCAAACAATAATGTTGTACCAAGGGTTTTGGAAAACTTCAAGAAAATTGAACCCAGGCATAATTATTCTGAGCCGGTGGTGCCGAGAAACAGTATCGGAAAAAATATACCAAGCCATAGCGTTATGACGAATCTTTTGGGTAATTTAATAAAATATGACAACACACCTGAGAAGAACTTCCATAGTCAAAGTAAAGCGAAAAAATATGCTGTTATTAATCAATCTTCACAAAGTTACCCCAGTCAGTTTCAAAGACGTAGGTTCGACAAAGATGTACTTAATCAAAGAATTGATAAGTATACCAGCACAACAGGGCTGCATTGGGCTCCAGAATGCAATAATTCAAAACGAATCACGCAAAATTACAACACCAAACTGCAAAATAAAGCCAAACCAAAATGCCCCATGGCCTGCCATAGAAACTTAGTTTGCAAAAATAAAAGAAAATCACTGAACGAAACCATAGAAATACTCGATAGCGCTTCGAGAACAAACATTATAGAATACATGAACCCCAATATATGCACCAGCAATAGCTCAGAATTCGAACACGACTTCATCAAAGATTTAAACAGAAAAAAGAAAACCACCAAGAAAAACTTAAGCCCAGTCAAAAAGATGCCACCAGAGAAAACCAAAAGTTTCGTGAGGTTACAGGTAGATAGGTACAACAGAATGGTGCAGGGCCAGGACAAAAAAACGCAAAACTGTCAAAAAAATCACACTCAGTTTATGAATAGTGTCAAAGAGAAAGTCCCCAGGATTATACCAACCGAAACAGATCAGTTCACTGAATCTCAGGATTGGTCCGACACCTACAAGGAAGAAATAAAGGTATGCTTCCCGAAGGAAACCAAACAAGCGATGGAAAAATTAATGGATAATAAAACGAGGAAAACCTCGGTACATCGTCAAGCTAGAAGAATGAATCCTCCTGGCGAAGAAGAACGGCCCAGTTTGAAACCTAACTGTAAAAAATTAAGTATTTTGCCTTGTCATAAAAATTTGCTTTGTAATAGGGGGTTCCATATAGGAGAATGCGTCAGGTAATATTAATAAAGCTTGTGTATTTATAAATAAAGCAACTCTTTTAACTTTTAGCTAAATTTATATACATTGCATCATGCTGATTGGAGATGAAAAATCATTATGAATGATTAAAAGCAGTATTAAAATTTAAGTGTTGTATTAGATATTATGAATATAATAAATCAGTTCAAAACAATCATTGCATTACGAAGTTTTTTTTATCAAAACGGTCCTTCAAACTTTTGGTTTCCTCATAGTTATAGTTAGTTTCTTCAGTTTCTTCGTTTTTTTTTCGGTTTCTTCAGCTTCTTCAGATTCTTCCGTTTCTTTGGTTTCTTCAGTTAGGTACTTGAGTTTCTTTAGTGTATTTAGCTTCTTGAGATTCTTTAGTTTCTTCAGTTTCTTTAGTTTCTTTAGATTCTTTAGTTTCCTTAGTTTTACTTCTTTAGTTAATTTAGTTTCTTCAGTTTTTTCAAATTCTTTGGTGTTTTTTTAGATTTCTTAGTTTCTTTAGTTTTCTTAGTCTCCTTAGTTTCTTGAGATTCTTCAAGTTTCTTCAGTTTTTTTAAATTCTTTAGTTTCATTTATTAAAATAGTTTCTTCAGTTTCTTAAGACTCGTTAGTTTCTTTAAATTCCTAAGTTTCTCAAAATTCTTTAGTTTTCATAGTTTCTTTAGTTTTTTAGTTTCTTTAATTTATATAGTCTATTTAGTTTATTTGGTTTATTTAGTTTATTTAGTTTCTTTAGGTTCTTTAGTTTCTTTAGTTTCTTTAGTTTCTTTAGTTTCTTTAGTTTCTTTAGTTTCTTTAGTTTCTTTAGTTTCTTTAGTTTCTTTAGTTTCTTTAGTTTCTTTAGTTTCTTTAGTTTCTTTAGTTTCTTTAGTTTCTTTAGTTTCTTTAGTTTCTTTAGTTTCTTTAGTTTCTTTAGTTTCTTTAGTTTCTTTAGTTTCTTTAGTTTCTTTAGTTTCTTTAGTTTCTTTAGTTTCTTTAGTTTCTTTAGTTTCTTTAGTTTCTTTAGTTTCTTTAGTTTCTTTAGTTTCTTTAGTTTCTTTAGTTTCTTTAGTTTCTTTAGTTTCTTTAGTTTCTTTAGTTTCTTTAGTTTCTTTTTATTTAGTTTTTTGTTTGGTTTTTTAGTTGTTTTTTTTTAGTTTTTTTTAGTTTTTTGAGCTTATTTAGTTTTTTTTATGTTTATAGGTTCTTCTTATACTTTATTTTCTTTAGGTGTTTTTTGTAGTTTATTTTCTCTATAGATTTTTAAAAATTTCTTTCCTTGTTAGTTAACACATGTTGAATAATAATATCGTACAAAAAATAAAATTGCTACTCAACAACCACTATAATTCATTTGAATGCTTGCCCATGTAGTTCAATAATTAAAAGCAATAAAAATAGTCTAAAAACATGCCAAGATAGACGTGTGGGCAAGATGTATTTCATTAAAAAAATCAGAGCATAAAGCAGCCACACTACAAATATTGAACTTGTGTTGTCCTGCCCCGCTTGATGGTCTGATAACTATTCAAGATATCTGATACGGAAACGCGTTGTAATTACATAGATAATAACATTTTTTGGCTATTATATCTGGATTATCATTTAAAATTAATAATTAAATACAATTAGACTGGTCTTTACGCGATTTTTACGGGAAAATGATGCAGGTTGTGAGCAAATTAAAATAATTATACTTGCTAAAACTTGTTTAATTTATATTAAGTTGTCTGCAAATTTGGAAGGTAATTGAACAGGAAGAATATTTTTAGAATGCCTATACGGCAGTATTCTAGATAACAAAATATTTGTTTATTTTTAATAAATTATTTATTCATTAAACAAATCAGTTATTTAATATTTATAACCCAGTCCTATCTGTATTCTTAATTTAAATAATGCAAATAAATCAAAGTTATTAAAATACAATAATATTTATCATTAATGTCAACATAATCACTACAGGATAAGAATGACCGCATAGGAGTCTTTTTAAATGCATTGAACTTCCTTTTGGCTTGAAAATGATAAGATGTACAGTTGCGTATAAAGTAAATATCAATAACCTTAGTCACTACAAACATTATTATTTAGGGGACAACGTCAGAGCTACTGCTAGAGTAGCAGCAATACGTAATAAAGCGACCGAAAATTCGAGTTTTAGATTTTTAAAGATTGCGATAAAGTAAGATCTTAAAATAATGCTTCTTATTGAAGCACAAAGTTTAAAGTGCTTCGAGCACTACTACAACTCCGTGTCTTCGAGCATCTTTGGTCGCCCTTATGACTCGACTTGATAGTAACTTTTTAGAATTAAAATATTAAAAAAATATATTTTTATAATATTAAAAAAATATATTTTGTATATAATATATATATAAAAATATATTTTTTTAATATTTTAATTCTATATTATATATATATATATATATATATATATATATATATATATATATATATATTATATATATATATTTATTTAGTTTTTATTTATTTATTTATTTAGTTTTTTTTCTAGTTATTTTAGAGTTTCTTTTCATTTTCATGTTAAACAAAACTTGAGAAAAAACTTGAGAGAGAAACTAAATAAACCAGAAAACTGAAGAAAGTAAAGAAATTTAATTTAATAATATCTTTATTAGCCAGAATGCTATACAGAAAACATATAATAGTATAAATAAATGAAAAACATAAAATAACACAGAAAATAAATAAAATCATATAAACTTAAGACAATACGTATACATTATGACAATTTAAAATATATTATCACTATAGTGATAATATATGAGATCTAATACAATTTTTAAAAGTTGTGATATCACTACATTGTTGTATATCCGGGGGTAGCTTATTAAATTCAAGCATACCCTTGTACATAGTAAAGTTTGACATTTGTACTGTTTTACATCTATCAAGTTGGAAATGGTTATTTAATATTATCGGACAAGTAATCAGGTACTAAATTGTTTTTAACCTTAAAAATAAATAACATAACATCAACATATATTTTTTGTTTCACAGACAAAATATTCAAGACATTTATCATGGTTTGTATAGGCGTATAACGATTCACATTTAAAATTACTCTCATAGCTCTATTCTGTATAATTTGTATTTCATTAACTATATACCTGGGTAAATTATATAAAAGGGTTGAACAAAATGAAATATGTGGTAGTGCTATACTTTTATAAAGTAGTAGTTTTGTGTATAAGGACAGATTTTTACCTATTCTAGTTATAAAAAATACTTTTTTGCTTAACTTGTTCATTACATAGCTTGCATGTTTGTGAAAATTTAATTGTTCATCAAGGATCACTCCGAGATATTTAATTTCTTTTACACATTCTAATTTGACATTATTAACACTTATATTTAAAAAATTAAAATCAACATTTACAGTCTTATATCTACTCCCAAATACATAGAATTTAGTTTTTGACACATTTAAACATAAACTATTGCTATTTAGCCACTCACATAGCAATTTTAAATCGTTGTTTATTAGTTCACTCATTACATTTAAATTGTTCCCTTCTATGTATAGCATAGTATCATCTGCGAACATTTTTATTTTGCTGGATTTAACTATTTTTGCCATGTCGTTTATATACAATATAAATAAAATTGGCCCAAGCACAGTTCCTTGCGGTACGCCATATTTAACAGGTTTACAACTTGAATACATACTTCCATATTTAACTTTTTGTTTTCTATTATGAAGGTAGGATTTGAACCATTCCAGTACCTTTCCACTTAGTCCCATTTTTTTCAATTTTAGTAATAGCAAATTTTTATCTATTGTCTCAAAAGCTCTTTTGAAGTCTAAAAATACTGCCAACACAAAGTTCCCACAATCTATCGCTTTTAAAAATTCATTACAAATATGTACAACCACTGACTCACATGAATAACCTCTTCGAAACCCAGATTGGTTTGATACTAACACATTATTTTCGACACAATATTTTAATAGTTGCTCCTTAACCACAGATTCTAACAGTTTCTCATATATTGGTACTGTGTTAATCGGTCGAAATTCACAGCTTTTTTTAGTATTGGACACTTTTTGTACTGGTATTATCACAGATGTTTTCCAATTTTTCGGAACTTCTCCGTATGATAATGACGAGTTGATTACATCCAACAATCTATTTCCAACTACATTAAACACATCTTTCAGTACATTCGTTGATATGCCATCCTCACCACCATTAACATTTTTCATGCCTTTTACTATATTTTTTAAATCACATAATCCAATAGCCTTAAACTCAGAAAAATAGCCGTAGAAACGAACACTGTCCAACAAAGCTTCGTCAAAAACTGTATTTATTGAAGCAACAATATCTTCAACGCTATTTATAAAATATGAGTTAAACTCTTCTACAATAGATGTTGGGTTATTTATCCATTTATTATTAAACAATATTTCATCGGGACAACTCTTTTCTGAACATGGTAGCAAAGTTTTTAATGTTTTCCACATCTCTTTGGGCTGATGTTTATACGTATCAATTTTATCCAAGTAAAACTTGTCTTTTTGTTTCTTTATTTGCTTTACTATACTGTTCCTAAGAATTATATAGTCCCTCCAAATTTCACCATCTCCAGTAAGTGATGCTCTTTTATATGTTGTATCTCTTTGTTGTATCATGTTCTTTATTTCATCATTCATCCATTCCTTGTTCTGGTACTTTTTTTTTATTTTGACTTTTATAATTGGGCACATATTGTCTAATACGTTTGTAATGCTTGCAATGAAATTTTCTGCCAATGCACTTACATCTGAGGTGGTATTGTTCCATTCGACATCTAACAACATTTCTTGTAACCTTTCGCTGCTGTAATTTTTCATGCGTCTGCACGACAGTGTCATGTCTTCATTAATATTATCAACAGAGTTTGGCAATGAAATACTAAGAATATAATGGTCACTTATTCTTGGGGTAGTATGAACGGTGTGTATAAGATTATGATTATTGGTCAGGATGTAATCAATTAAGGTTGCACTTGATTGTGTTACTCTTGTTGGCACTTCCACAAGTTGTTTAAAACCATGCCTATATATGATTTCTTTAATTTTATTTCCATAAAAAGTTGATTGCATTAAGTTATAATTAAAGTCTCCAACAATAGTGTTAATGCCTTCAAAAGTGCTAACAGTTTCCAGGTATCCATGAAAGTAGTCCAAAAATAAGGCATCTTCCCTTTGCGGTGGATGGTAAATAACAGTTATTAAATATTTTTGACCATATATTTTAATTTCTATTGAAAGCAACCATAAATAATTTGGAAAATAGTGTACAGTTTTGACTTTATATTTAAGGCTATTGTGTACAAACATCATAACTCCCCCTGTTCTACAATTATCTGTGCAGCATTTTTCCAGGTTATAATTATCAATTTTTAATTCCGTTGATTCAACATGAGTCGTAACATGGGTCTCTGAGAGCAAAAGAATAATTGGCCTTATTTGGGAAACGAAATAGACAATTTGGTCCTTATTGTTGAGAAATCCTCTACAGTTAAAATAAACAATACTGCTTTTTAACTTTGGTTCTTCTAATTGCTATTTCACGAATTTGTTTTTTTGTAATTCTTCATATCTTTTATATGTTGTACAGGTATCTTTGTTCCATGCTTCATGGTCAGTTTCTAATTTCAATCCATACTTAACATTTGACTGTTCACAATTTATACATTTGGTAATATTACTAGTGCAGTTTTTTTTATCATGATCTCCACCACATTTTTGACAAATTTTTTATTACAAAACTACAAATTCCTTTTAGTTATTTTAGTTTCTTTATAGTTTTTGACATAAAAATAATAATTTAGTTTCCTAATAGTTTCTTTACAGTATGTTTTAGTTTCGCTGTAGTTTTTTCATTTTCCTTATGTTTTTTTTGTAGATTATTTTTAGTTAGGTACTTCAGTTTTTTATAGTATTTGACAGGGAAATAATAAAACAAATTTGTTTATTTAAGTTTTTTAAGCTTTTTTATATATAGGTAACTATAGTTTCTTTTTAGTTTCTTCAGTTCCTTTATAGTTTTTGACATGGAAATAATAAATTCAATATAATATTTATTTTTTGTTTCTTTGTATTCTTTCATTAGTTTATTTAGTTTATGGTTTCTATAGATTCGTTATAGTTTTTCGTAGTTTCTTAATAGTTATTTTGTAAATTCATTTTAGTTATTTTAGTTTTTATAATTTATTTTAGTTTGTCTGTAGTTTTTTTGGTTTTCTTATAAGTTCTTAATAGTTTATTTGTAGATTCTTCTTACTAAGAAGTTCTTAGTTACCTACTTCAGTTTATTTATAGTTTTTTACAGAGAAATAAAACAAATTTATTTATTTTACGTTTTTTCGTATTCTTTCCTTAGTTATTTATAGTTTTTTTTCAGTTTATTTATGGTTTTTATAGTTTTTTTGTAGTTTCTTTGTTGATACCTATGGTAACTAATTGTTTATATAGTTTCTTTTTAGTTTCCTAATAGTTTCTTTTAGTTATTTCAATTAATTTATTTATAGTTGACAAAAATAATAAAAGAAATATATTTATTCTTCGTTTAGTTTTATTTTTGTAGTTTCTTTGTAGATTATTTTTAGTTACTTCAGTTTTTTATAGTTTTTAGTATTGCTGTAGTTTTTATATAAATTCATTGTAGTTTTTTAATAATTTCTTTGTAGATGCCTTTAGTTTTTTCAGTTTATTTTTGTTTCTTTACTTTATTTATTATAGCTTTATATAAACATATGTAGGTTCTTTGTAGATTCCTGTTATTTCATTTTATTAATAGTTTTTGGCATACAAATAATTAAACAAATATTTTTATTTATAGTTTCCTTATATATACCTAACTATAGTTTCTTTGTTTCTTTTAGGTACATACCTACTCTCGTTTTTATTTTTAGATTTGTAGTTTATTTAGTTTCTTTGTAGATTATTTTTAGTTAGTTTAGTTTTTTAATAATTTTTGACAGAGATGTAATAAAACAAGTTTATTTATGTTTAGTTTCTTTCTATTCTTTCTTGTATTCTTTCTTTAGTTTATAGTTATAATGTAGTTTCTTATTGGCTTCTTTAGTTTATTTATGGTTGTATATATTTTTATAGTTTCTTTTTAGTTTCGCTGTAATTTTTTTTGGGTTTTAATAGTTTCTTTGAGGGTTATTTTTAGTAACCTCAGTTTTTTTATAGTTTTTGACATAGAAATAATAAAACAAATATATTTATTTTATATATTTATTTAATATTGAAAGATGTTCCCGTCCAATGACTGTCTGGAAAACCCAGGATTTGTTTGGGAAGAATGATGAGAAGAATGCATTAAGAGAATATTATTTGGATTTTTTCTTTCTACAAGCCCAGTTATTCTGACAGTATGAGCCTAAAAAAATACAAATTGAAAATCCAAATCTATACAGATATAGATCTAGATCTAGACAACATATTTATTAAAGAAGTCTTCAATACATACCGAATTATATCTATATGGCATAACAGGCACTTTTATTTTCTTTTGGCATGTTGGGACCGATATCCCTCCACCAATCGCTATTTCTCCAAACTCTATCACTTCCGAGGGAACAGGTGGTATATCCCTCGTATTTCTCAAACGCCTCCAAGTCTGTTCTCCAAGTGTTTCAGCTTGATAGTAATAATCGGTTTTAGCTGGAAAAAGCTCCTTTTCGTGATCGTATCTGGATGATAGAGCTACATCCAGAGAATCAGAAGGAACCGTATCCCTAAGAGAAAAGCAAATTTGACGATTTCTCTTTGCATTAAAATATTTCAGATGGTACCCATTCAATTTTCTAATTAGGTATATAATAAATCCTTGTCAAAATAAGAACGGTAAACTGTTCTAAAACATGATTTGAAAAGAGTTCATTGTTATATTAGCAAAAAATTATTTTAATTGGAATAATGTTTAACAATTATTGTAGGAACATTAAGTTTATAACGTTAAAATTTCAATTATGTATGTGTATGAGTAATTTGAACAATAACGATTATAATTATTAAACCAGAAAACCTTACGTAACCTATTTTTAGAAATAGGTCACAAAGAATGCCTGCAGTAAAAATGACATTCAACCAAACAATACCGTTCCAGACTGACTCCAGTCTAACATTCAAACATGCAATGATAAAAATCAGATTCTACATATACTCACTTGTATGCCTGAAAGTAGGCAAACCTCCTCGCACTGCTTAGAGTTTGGTGTTCGTGCAGTCGCTCGTATGTTTTTAAATTGCCTTTGCACCGTTTTTTATCGTCACCTTGCGATAAAGGTTTCACAAAAAAACCCTCGTTCTTCAGACATGGCACGAGCGATTTGTTGCGTACATGTACCGTAGCAGTCATTTAGATAATGCGATTGATATCATTATGATACAGCGGGGTGGGTGGTATGGGTGACCCAGAAAATCACGGAGTAGCGTGTCGCGAGGGATTAAATTCGATTTTGTGATGTCGACGATGAAAAGGATTAACTAAGAATGAAAGCCACAGGAAATTAGATTGAGAGCCTTTTTTAAACGAATATTTCCGCAGTTGTCAATCCAATGTTTAATAGAAAAAATAAAGTTTTTTGGTATTTTTAATAATTTTATCTAAATATGATAGTCATATTAGTTTTTCCATCATTTGGTTTTTATATTTAAGATTGTCATAATTTTAGCTCGTCAGCTGACGACGACCTCAGCATTTTGGCTTAAGTTACAGAGATGGCAAGCAAAATGTCATTATACTGACACAATTTTGACGCATCTTCGCAATTTTTTCTGACCACCAGTCATTTAAACTTGTCATCGATTTAGCTTATCCTCCTTTTAGCTTGTTATTATTTTAGCTTGTCCTCATTTAAGCTAGTCAATATTTTAGCTTATCCTCATTTTAGCTTGACGTCATTTACACTTGTCATAGATTTAGCCTATCCTCATTTTAGCTTGTTATTTTAGATTATCATCATTTTAGCTTATATTATTTAAGCTTGTTCATTTTATCTCGTCATCATTTTAGCTTGACATCGATTTAACTGGTCTTACTTTTAGCTTATTATTTTAGTTTTTCATCATTTTAGCTTACTATTATTTTAGTTCGTCATCATTTTAGCTTATCCTTATTTTAGCTAGTCCTCATTTTAGCTTGACGTCGTTTAAACTTTTCGTCGATTTAGATTGATATTTATTGTTATAAAGTTTTTCATTATTTTAGCTTTTCATTATTTTAGCTTATTATTATTTTAGCTTGTCCTCATTTTAGCTTGTCTTCATTTAAGCTTGACGTCAATTAAACTTCTCATCATTTTAGCTTGTTATTTTAGTTTGTCATCATTTTAGCTTTTTATCATTTTTTCTTTTCTCTTTTAAGCTAGTAAACATTTTAGCTTATCATTATTTTAGCTTATACTTAATTTAGCTTGATGTCATTTTCACTTGTCATAGATTTAGCCTTGTTATTTAAGTCTTTCATCATTTTAGCTTGTTATTTTAATTTGTCAGTATTTTAGCTTATAATTATTTTAGCAGGTCTCATTTAAATTGTTCATTTTATCTCGTCATCATTTTAGCTTGACGTCATTTAAACTTGTCGTCGGTTTAGCTTTCAATATTATTTTAGCTTGCCATTATTTAAGCTTGTTTTCATTTTAAGTCGTCATAATTTTAGCTTGTCCTCATTTTAGATCGTCATCATTTTAGTTTGTCATAATTTTAGCTTGACGTCCTAAATGAGATGTTAAAAACTTGTCCTCATTTTAGCTTTATGTCATTTAAACTTTTCATCGATTTGTCCTCTATTTTAGTTTTTCATTATTTTGACCTATTATTATTTAAGCTTGTCCTCATTTTAGCTTTAAGTCATTTAAACTGGTCATCGATTTAGTTTGTCCTCCTTTTACCTTATTTTAGTTTTTTATTATTTTGGCCTATTATTTTAGCTTGTCCTCATTTAAGGTTGTCATTATTTAAGCTCGTTATCATTTTAGCTTGACGTCATTTAAATGTGTCATCGATATAGCTTGTTATTTTAGTTTGTCGTCATTTTAGCTTGTCCTCATTTTCGCTCGTTATTATTTTAGCTTGTCCTTATTTTAGATGGTAAACATTTTAGCTTGACGTTATTTAAACTTGTGATGTATTTAGCTGGTCCTTCTTTTAGTTTTTTATCATTTTAGTTTATTAATATTTTAGCCTGTCCTCATTTTAGCTTGTCCTCATTTTAGCTTGTCCTCATTTTAGCTTGTCCTCATTTTAATTCATCATAATTTTAGCTTGTCTTCATTTAAGCTTGATGTCATTTAAACTTCTCATCATTTTTACTTGTCCCCACTTTAGCTCGTCATCATTTAAGCTTGACATCATTTAAACTTGTCGTCGATTTAGCTTGTCCTCCTTTTAGCTTGTTATTTTACTTTGTCAACATTATAGCTTGTCCTAATTTAAGTTTATCCTCATTTTAGCTCGTCCTTATTTTAGATCGTCTTCATTTTAGCTTAACGTCATTTAAACTTCTCATCATTTTAGCTTGTCCTTATTTTAGCTTAAAGTCATTTAAACTTGTCGATTTGGCTTGTTCTCTTTTTAGCTTGTCATTTTAACCCGGCATCATTTTAGCTTGACGTCATTTGAACTGTCATCGATTTAGCTTGTCCTTCTTATAGCCTATTTTAGTTTGTAATTATTTTAGCTTATTAATATTTAAGCTTGTCCTCATTTTAGCTCATCGTTTTAGCTAGATGTAATTATTTCAGTTAGTCATTATTTTACTGCTTCATTTTAACATATCATCGTTAGTTAGATTTTTTTCTTTTTAAAACATGCCAAGTTAATAAAATTAAATTGATTTAAATAAATTGAACATTTATATTAAAAAAATATATTTATATTTTTTTAAATTTTCGTAATTTGTCATTATTTTATTATGTAAATTTTTTAATCAAACAAATTTGATAACAGAAGACATTTAATGTTACCAAAAACCAATGAATGCTGTTGAAATAAAACAATTTTGACTATATTAAAAATATAATAAAATAAACACTTAGGTATGTAGTTCTTAACAAATAGAGGGTAACATTTTAACACTTAGTTTATAAATAAGGTTGCCAACCATAAAAAAGGCGGCACAAATTTGAAGGATCCATAGCCTTCTGGATTAAAGTGCCGACTTGGTGCTCAATGCTCGCTTGATTTCCCTCTTCGGTACCTTGCAGCTTACTGCGCAGACGCAGTAACGCCCTCTCGGCAGTTATGTTCAGTTCTTTGCCAGCTAAAAATATTACAGCGAGAAATATATAACATGGTTCTAACAAATATGAAAGTGAAAATTAATACTCACATTCTTCATAGGAATCATCTGTGTCGGAATGTTCGTCCAAATCGTCAGTTTGTCTTTTATTGGCTTCAGCAGGAGTGACACTCCAGAAATATAAAGGATCATAAAGAAGAATTTCTAAAATTGTAAGTATTGTTTGTGCGTTTGTTCTAAGGACTTCCATTGTTTTCTCACAGGATCTAAGAATGTCGAGAATGTTAGTTTTAATATACATACAAGTAATAATTTACCTTTTAAAAATTCCCTCAACACCAGATATACCCATACCATCAACTACATCTCTGGTAAGCCTGAATGGTATGGTTTCAGGGGTTGTTAGGCACCTCCCTTGTTCAAATGCAATACCTAAACATTTGGAGGTGACATTTTGTTTGCTGGTGATTTTTTTTTATTCGTTAGTATTTTCTTTAGTATTTATTGTTTTTTTTTACTAAAACTTACTTCTTGCAGTGTAATATTTTCAGTAAAGTATAATGAAAAAAACTTCGGTTGCGTATGGCATAAAGAATTTTAGAGAAACAATTAAACTGAACATTACAATACCAAGAAATACCTATTAAAGTGTTTATAAATTTGTTAAAGCAAAAAAATGATTTATCGTTTAATAAATTTTATATGTACTCTTATAATACACAAAAGCATTTATTAATTCTAAGGTTGATGGATATTATAGAATCTTTTTATCGAAAAACCACATTATATTTTTGTTGAAGAAGAAAAAGAATTTTCTATTATAGTTATCAAAATTTCTGGATGTTAACGACCTTATCTAATTATTTAATAAAATGTTAAAGAAAAGATTTTATTTCATTCAACTTCCGTAAATATTACCGTAAATGGAATAAATAGAAACAAATTAAATTAAATTAAAGACTTAACCAACATTTTTTATTTTTTACAATTTACTTACCAAAATCAATGTGTATAACTTCAGCGGTGTTTTTGTCGACTAAAATGTTGCTGACGTGCCTATCGCCGATACCCAGTATATAACCACACATGCTGGTGGTGGCAATACTGTGTATGTAGGCCCTGCGCCTTTCGTACCAAACTGTTGGTTGCAAAAAGTGTTCTTCGAAAAATTTGTGGAAAACCGGCTTGCTTCTCTTGCAAATCGTATTGAAGATCGCTAAGCGAACCTCCTGGGACTCACCGACTCCGTTCTTTAACAATCAGTTAATAAAATGTAGGACGTTAAATTCTTTTTTTTGTATTTTACCTTATATTGGTATAGGCACTCTGTGGGAGATAACTCTTCCTTGGATTTGTACCGAAAATGTGCCCCCTCAAGCCCTGGGCCCCCAACAAGGTAATTTCCTATGGGCATGCTGTTCTCTACCCATTCTAGTATGCCACTTCTCATAGATAAGGGCATTATCTAGAATAGTAAAAAAGCACGTCTGAAATCAACGAGTACCTACCTATGTAAATTGCTTACCTTGTAGGTTCTGATTCTTAAATCAGTGGTTTGCTTACTACTGGCCAACAAACTGTTCATAATAGTAAAAACCTGTTGCATCACAGAATCTTGCCTCAAATCATCGAGCCCTTTGACCAACTGGGATCTTTCGATACCGTCAGTTCCCCTGCATTTAATTCTTTTGGGCGTATTGACACCACCCACGTTGCTAAAGCCTGTACTAAACGAAGCGATTCCTGTAAAAAAATAGTGCATTATTTTGTAAGGAGCTGTTACTCCGCATAAAATATACTATTTTTTTCAAACGTCAAATACATAAAATATTCAATTTTCCGTAAAAAAATTATTTGGAGCACAGATAAAAAATAAGGAGGTGACATTTTGTTTGCTGGTGAATTTTTTGTTGATTTGTAAGTATTTTCTTTGGGGTTTATTGATTTTTTTTCTGAAACTTATTTCTTGCAGCATTATTAATATGTCAGACGAGGAATTCATGATGGGTACTTCCCCTGAAATAGGGACGCCGCCAGACCTGCCACCAATAATTTAATGTAAATAAGTCAAGTCAACAAAATTTCAAAATTGGTGCGAAAAAAGGAAAATCTAGTAGTGTAGCTTACATTAAAGAATCCATAATATGTAGGTATTCCATATCTAATAAGAACGATTGTGTAATGAAAGTACTGTAAACAATTCCTGAATCAAATTATTATTAGGGGTGTGCGTATATCGTTCGAATCGAATCAAATCGAATATTGATATTCGATTCGAAATTCGAATCGAATAATTTGAATTTTCGAATTTTTCGAAATTCTACGAATAACTCGAAAAAAATCGAATAATCCGAAAAATTTCGAATTATTCGAAAATTTTCAAATAATTTGCGAACTAATGAAATATCTCTGGATTTTCAATTGCTTTCATTTAAATTCCTTTAAATCGTGTATCGAAATATTCTACTTAAGAATAATATATCTACTTTTAGTTAAAAAATCATTTACCCAGAGAAAACAAATCTATAAGAAAAAGGTTACTTATGTAATGTTTCACTATCGTATTTATTATTTTTGCACAAAAATTCGTAGCAAATTTTAAAATTTTGTAGTTTTCATAATACTGTATTTGCTACGATATAATTTCTGTTATTTCATTCTCTTTCAAAAAAAAACTATACTTATTGTTCTATTTCATGGTTTGTATATGTCGTGTATGTTGACTGTTAAATTCATATTTGAATATTGAACATAAGAAACCCTGAATTCAAAATACTCGAAAATTAGCTAATAATATTATAGTTTACGAATAATTCGAAAAAATTTCGAATTATTAAAAAAAAAATCGAATTATTCGAAAAAAATTTGAATGAATCGAAATTTTTCGAATTATTCAAAATTTTTCGAATTATTCAATAACTTTCGAATAATTCGAATTTTGGAATTATTCGATTCGAGTTCCGAATCGAATATTAATATTCGATTCGAACGAATAATTCGTAAGTTCGAATTATTCGCACACCCCTAATTATTATAATTCTCAAGCAGGTTGTAGCTTTAGAACTGCCCACTGTGCAGCAAATTTTTACAGAAAATCGACGGCAACATTCCATGGAAAATGCTTCCATAAGCGCGGAAGTAAATTCCACTTTGACTTTAAGTATCTTTTTTAAGGTGAGACAATAAATGATTGTTTATTAATTTAAAAGCACTTTGGGTATTATCTTTAAGCAGCAGAGCCATTCCACGCGTGACGGATGGGATAGTTGCCGTGTTTTTATTTACAAAATAATGTTGTTCTATTGTATTGCCAATGTCAAATTTTTATAAATGGTTCTAAACTGGAGCTGTTTAACAAGGTTTTTATTTGGCAAAATTGGGTATCGTGATTGACTGTCCAATTCCTTAAAAACTAATAATTTAAAGCGTAATAAAGGAAAATATTCAAGGCGCATGAAATATTTTGCTGTACCGTACCGTAATCAATACACTTACCAACAATATTTTCATAGTTGTTACTTTTACTGACAGGTAAGGTAACGGTAGGTAGCAAAACATTATCAAAAGACCGTATTCTTGTAAGTTTCAAAGATGATGGTATACTAAAGTCGCTTTTTCTTTCGGCTTTATAATAAGCCAACTCTATGAGGGCTTTAGCAACTTTGTCCATCTTATCCACAAGATCAGTGTTCATGGTATCCTTGACTTTTCCCAGCAAGTTATTCGCGCTGGACACCCTGTCGTCGTTCGAGAACGTGTTCGTTTTGGACTTGGTAAACCTGCGGTCTTCGTTTGCGTTCGATAACGACAACAGCAGCGGCAACGTGTGATGCGGATGTTCGAGGGCGCATTTTTTTACGATGTTGAAAATTTCCGTGGCAAATAGGTCCGTGTTAACTTCGGATATATGCGGTACCAACTGGGGTAGCATGTCGACGTACTTGTAACTCGGAACTTTGTTCATACATGCAACGATGATTTTTTTTATAGAAGCGTTTGCTCTGTTTTCGAGGAACAAAGACATCACACGGAAGATTCTTATGTTGTTTTTGTCACTTCTTTGCAGGTTCTTAAGATAGTACCTAAAAAATCATAACTCAGAATTTTGATGAAAATTACAACCAAAATGTAATGTTTGTTGATAAGTTATTTTACTTACCGTAATGCCAATTTTAAAAAATTATTTCTTCCTTTATTATTATTTTCGATTTCGTCTTCGTCGATTTTGCTTTGTTTTTCATGTAAATCTGCCGCCATTCTTTCGTCCGCTGTTTGGCTTTTTTTGGTTCTTATTAACCTTGCTGTTTCTTTAGATTTTTCCATGTTCGAAATTTTCTTTTGGAAAATGTCCGATTTCATCTGAAGAACAATCTAAAAATATGGATCGTATTTTGTCCCAATGTACGAATTTTTTAGATGCAATACAATTTTCCAGATAATTTTACGTAACAAATGTCACAAAACAAATATTAAGCGTAATTCGCTTGAGGCAATAGAAAAGCATCAAGTTAGCCTGCTTCATTTGTCAAATCGTTTGTCATAACATAAATCAGAACAAACTGTAATTTCTAACAAAATCGACTGAACGGTGAAACCTTACCTCCAAACACCCTACCATTTAAGATTTTCGATAGTTTTTATGCATGATGGCGCCCCACCCCATTTTTCTGCGAACGTAAGGGGAAGTTTACGCCGCCCGATGGATAGAACGAGGAGGGTCAATTCCGTGGCCTCGTTCTCCAGATTTAAATCCACTAGACTTCTGTATGTGGGGATATTTAAAATCATTGGTGTATGCAGTCCCAGTTCATAACTTTGTTGAAAATTGGAAATAAATTGCGTTTATGCACGATGACATTATAATATTACAATTATAACAAAAATTCTTTGACGTAAACGTCTTTTTATAGCCCGCGGGCGTTATTATGGCCCAGCGGGCTATAAGGAAACGTCAAAAATTAAAAACAACAATGTTAAACCATTTGATATATTCGAAGTAAGTTTTTTCGTATAAAGATTTTGATTTTACCGGCAGCAGGCCGCAATTTTTCGCCTTTTCAGCTGCTTCCTCAATTTCATTTATCTTTAAACTTTAAAACTGACTGATGTCAGTTGACATTATAATATGACAATTATAACAAAAATTCTTTGACGTAAACGTCTTTAAAAACAATAATATATTAAAAATAATAATATATTAATCGTGCATAAAGTTTTGTATGCATTGCTGGCATAACTGGTTTTTATGGTCCTACGACGCTTTTCAAGCCCTCGCGCTAACGCGCTCGGGCTCGAAATAGCGCCTCGGACCATAAAAACCTTATTATGCCCTTAATACATAAATAACTATTATGCACGATGACATTATAATATGACAATTATAACAAAAATTCTTTGACGTAAACGTCTTTTTATAGCCCGCGGGCGTTATTATGGCCCAGCGGGCTATAATGAAACGTCAAAAATTAAAAACAACAATGTTACACCATTTGATATATTTGAAGTAAGTTTTTTCGTATAAAGATTTTGATTTTACCGGCAGCAGGCCGCAATTTTTCGCCTTTTCAGCTGCTTCCTCAATTTCATTTATCTTTAAACTTTAAAACTGACTGATGTCAGTTGACATTATAATATGACAAGTATAACAAAAATTCTTTGACGTAAACGTCTTTAAAAACAATAATATAGGTATTAAAAATAATAATATATTAATCGTGCATAAAGTTTTGTATGCATTGCTGGCATAACTGGTTTTTATGGTCCTACGACGCTTTTCTAGCCCTCGCGCTAACGCGCTCGGGCTCGAAATAGCGCCTCGGACCATAAAAACCTTATTATGCCCTTAATACATAAATAACTATATTGTTGTAGTTCATAATAACTAGAATTTATGAATTTTTGAAGCAAGATAGCCATGACTTTGTAACAAAAGAAGCTTTTTTACATAAAATTATCTGGAGAATTGTATTCCAAAATCGAGAATTGAACAAATCGGTCAAAAATTGTTTGCATGGAACAACACTTTTAAATTTGCAAATACTGAAATTTGCCTAAAAACAATTTTAGACAAATTACCACCCCCCAGCTTCTATTTACTCTATTTTATTACTAAAACTGACCTGTTGATATTCTTTATCAGCAAAGGATGCCAATTTATCGTACGTATCTACAATATTATCCGATTCCTGCCTTGTACTTTCCGTATCGGTTTTATCGATGATATCCAGCGATTTCAAAAAATAGTCGTCAATAATGGTTTGCCTATTTTCGGAATAGGTCTCTACCATGTATTGCCCTGAGAGTTTTAAAGCTCTAGACCTTACACTGAAATAAACAATGTATAGTATACATTGTGTACCTAGATAAACACGTGTTTTATTTAATAAATAAATTGTTCTTACATTGGATTTTCTTCTTCATTTCGCCCCAATTTGCTGAGTATGTGTTTGGCAGCCAGTTTGTCATTTAAAGCCCAACACAACTGAGCCTGAGACAAATGGATTTTGGCTTTCTGAATGTCATTTATTTTCGACATTTGCTGCAAATCCGTTAATATTCTTGATGCCACGCGGTGGTCACTTTCATTCCTCGCCAAATCTAAAAAAAATCCGGTTTTTCTAGAAGTTCTTTAGTACGCAACTCTTACAACATTACCTGCAAATTTTAACATCATATCGACCAATATTTCCTTTAGACCCTTGTTTTTAGCGATCTTCAGATAGCTTTTCAATAAAACCACGCGTTGCGCGATAATGGGCTCGATATATCTAAACTCCGAATCTTTACTTATCAAATCCTGCAAGTGCCATTTTTGAAGCAGGCCTTCGAAATGCCCACTATCGAAGGCCTCGGCAAAATCCAGCGCTTCGACTAAAGACTGCGCTTGCGTAAGAATCGGGTACAAATTTTTGCTGCACTCCAAATTCGTTTGCTTGAGTTTTTCCACGAGACAGAGATTTTGCAGGTGCGACGATTTTTCAAAGTTCAGCTTATCGTCGTCGTGCAAGGATTTTAGATAGCGGAACTTGAACTTTTCAAAGTCGTTTACGTCCAGATTAACCTCTGCATTCGAGGTCGGTTCCTCGAAATTCCAATGACCTAACCTCCAAAGGCACTCGTACTGTTGCTCTTCTATACCGCTCGCGCATAGCAAAGGTACTTCGTATAGAGAGCACATTTTCAAACTATCCATTAGCATTTTCTTGCAGGAAATGTCACCGCGTCCGACCTGCATTTCGTAGAAGTGGGCCACCTGGTCCCATTGATTCGAGTCCTTGTAACTTTCGACGCGGAACTCGGGCTCTAGAATGAACGATATGCCGCAACCGTTCATTGCGTCCAAGTCGCCTATTGCTTTATAAGCCTGTGGTAAAATACAGTAAGAATATAAATTGCAAAAGAGAACTAAAAACCGAGATATAAAACAGACTTACTTTACGGAAAATATTGTGCATTGCCTTAGCTGTTTCCCTATCCAAACTGTCGTAGATCAAATCGTGCTTTGTGTAACCAGACGGCAGAGGTTTGTAATGTTTTTTTTCAACCTCCTCCAATTTCGAGTAGCAGTAAAGTTCAGCATACAGCAAAGCTGCAAAATTATCATCGCAATATTGCGAAGCCTGTGCTACGTATAAATAGCTGACATCGAACTTGTTGGCTCTGAAAAGTGAAATTGTAAGATATATTATTTGGTATTTGGAAAAGTTCTTTATCAATTCACCCAAAATGGATCCAAATCGGGGAGAACTTTTCCGATCAGGACCACACAACTCACTTGTATTTTGCAACGGATTTCTTCAATCTAACAAAGTCAACAACGTTCAACATACACTTTACGGTTCTTTTATCTCTAATTACATCTTTACTGGAGGATTTGTTCAAAGAACACAACCATTGTTTTTTGAAAAATTTGTTGATTTTTGTGGGCATAATTTTCGCTATCTTTTTGTCATGCAGACATAGGAAAATGAGGTGCGGCAAAAGGTCTTCGCAAATCTCAATCTTCTCATTACAAATAGGAATTAATTTTGGTAGAAAACAATCATCCCCAAACGCTTCCAGTAACGCTCTAACCAATTCAACCACCCAGAGTTCGTGGGTTATATTATTTTTCGGGCACCAAAGTTCATCGGAGTTTATCGATGAAATCAACAAATCCTGGTTCAGTACCACATTGGAGTTGTTGGTTAATATTTCTGAACCAATATAAGGAACCAAAAAGCGTTTATCAATAGAACCTTTTTTGCTAAAGCTAAAGGAAGCAGTTGTCATCTTCATAGCTTCCTTACTATTTAAAACATCATGTAGGGCATTAGAAGCAACTCTGGAAATTCTTATATCACAATCAACAATATATTTGGACAACAGTAAAACTGCTATCCCGCTTATCATTTCGAACGGCGTACATTTATCATTTTCCAGACTTTGCGCAGGTTGCAATATCAATGTTAGAAGATTAGCTGGCCCTAGCTCTCCAAGACACTTCACAGCCTCTGAGTTTATACTTTTATCGGTTCCCCAAGTCATTTTAACCAATTTTGCAACCAATCTGTGCAGATGGCTTTGAATGCAGTCCTCGGAAAAACCGCGTATGTTTTTTAAGTTTTCATACATATTCTTCAGCTGAACTTTTTCTTTTATCAAAGTTGTTCTCAGCTGCTTTAAACTTTCTTCTTGGGATGAGTTGCACTCGTCGTCGTTTGCGTTTAAAAAGAAATCGATTTCTTTTTGCAAGGTCACATTTTTGTTATTGTACTTTAAGTTTTTGATGATTGTGTTTAACTTTTCGAACTCTTCGGTTCGAGGGAATGTATCTAGCTTTGATATGGCATCAGATAAATGGGTGAGATTTTCTACTACAAGAAAATTTACGATCTCAAGGCAATCCATTTTAAGAGATTCATTTGTGATTATTATATTTTTCAGGGAATTCACCACAAAAATAAAAAACTGCTGGAAAATATCACCGTATTTCGGCAGTATATCTTTGAAATACTGCAAGCTAAACACAGTCACAATTTTCCTAAATCTTTCACAGCCCCTAGATTTGATAAGATTTATTAAGTAATGTGAAGTATCCCTCACAAAATACACCGAAAAAATACTTTTTTCGTTTATACACTTCAAAATAAGGCCTAAAACTATGGTGTAATGATGGAAATATTTTATTTTATCCTGCAAAAATATGGTGTTGTATATATTTGATTTTAGGTCCAGTAAGATTCTCTCAATTTTTTTGCTTTGTTTTAACAACAAATGGGCTAATACATCATCAGATAAATCCAAAAATTCCTAAAAAAAGAAATAGTTGCTGTGTATATACTGTACTATTGATTACAAAATAATGGGAGTCATTTTGAGCTTTAATTTAAAAAGCTAAAAATTAAAGTGTTTTCATTATTGTTGAACAATTATTTTGTGTTCTCCAGTTTTTTTATTATTGTTTTTACGACTAAAAAATGGTTTGATTTGATATTTAATGCTTTAATTTGATATTTATAAGGAGAAATTGGAAATAATTATAAAAATTAATTTGCGTATTTTTCAAAAATTAAACCATTAAAAAGCATTTTTAGTACTGTTAAATAGCAATTTTCAAGAGCTTTCCAATGAGGTATCAAAAAGAGGGTGTTGCCATTAAAAAAATTGAGTTGGGGTGGCTACATCCCCAGGGGTTGCTTGGTGAAGGTCATTTTTGTGGTCATACTGATTCCCCCCACATATCTTAGAAACGGTTTTGAGAAATTTTTGATATCTATTTTAGGTCCAGACTTATAAAGCATTGCTCGTTTTTAAGTATACAAAAAAATACAAAATTAATGATGTATTTGACTTTTTTAGCTGACAAACATGTGTAACGTTCCAGAAATTTTTAAATGATATATTTTTAATAACAAGTCTGATAGTACGACTCGAGTTATCCTAAGGTACAGACGCGCACGCGATCGCTTCCAAAGAGTACGGAAGTAATATATTACTTCCGTACTCTTTAGAAGCGATCGCGATTGTATACAATCCTAACAGAAACAGTAAATCGCACACAGTGTAGTTAAGTTTGTTAGGCAATTTAAGTGTATACGGTTCGAAATTAAAGCCTAGGGCCACTACATGTGCACTGCACATTGTGCAAGTAAAATCACGGTACCTGTCTCCCGAAGTCTTACAGAAGTGCAGTACAATACAACCTCCTAACAAGTGAAGAATCACGAAATCAGTTACGCTACTTGTGCAGGTGAATTCAATGTACCACTCTCCAGAAGGAACAAAGTGGATCGCAGCAACAAGAGATAAGTTGAATAGTTTTGAACCGCGTAATTTAATTTGCATTCTCTACACAGAGAAAAGTAATCTCTTGATTTTACTATATCTGTCTTGACTCAAATAAATTATTTATTTCGATATGATACAAGAAGATATTTATTTAGTGGAAAACTTGGGTTTATTTGACTTTTTAAACTGATGGTTTGTTTAATACAAGTAAATATTTAGTTGACTTTTTATCTCAGGTTTAGTAGAATCTTACTTAAAGAAACAAAACATTTACTTGAACTAAGTAATTCATTTTTTTAAATTAAATGTGAAGCTTTCTTAAAGAAACAAAATATTTACTTACATGAAGAAAACAATTTATTTCAGACAAATAATTAGTACCTTTTAATATTATAATTTCACGAAATATATAGTGATTGATCCAAACAAATGTTTGCTTGTTTTAATACTATGATTTATTTATTTTAATGTTGCTAATTACTTGATATTTGGTCGGAAAAATTAAATTAAAAAACGTTTATTCCAATATTTTTTATTTGAACAAAACAAGTGTACACTTGTTTTGTTGTAAATACGTATTTACAATAAACATTAAAAACACACAATATAAAATTAACAATAAACAAAACATATAATATATGAGCGGACAAAAATAGGAACAAAAAATACGTCAGTCACTGAAGTTCAGTGTAAATATTAATGCACGGCATTAATAAAATACACCAAGTCTGTGGGTAAAAGTAATAAGAGGATAAGTCAACAACAAGCAATTTTTCAGCAGAACCTTAAACGAAAAGAAACGGTTTATTTTTAGTTTATGGCCTGTAAGTAAAATGTGCAATTATATTTAAAAGCAACAAGTCAAGTCTGATACATGCATGATCCAAAATAAAATAGGTACCCATATTATCATATAACTTTGTAGTTTCCAAACTACCTAGGTACACAACATTTTAATTAACTAAATCACTTTAACTTACCAACAAAACTAAAAAGCAAATGGGTTAAATTATTTTCTTTGAAGAATTCTTCCATACTATTAAACATAAGCACTTAAACACAAAACTATAACCGTTGATTAAACACCTCCTTCTCTTAAGTTAAGAGTCTTAACGCTTTGCCAAGGACGCTCTGCGAGTTTGTTTGCAAATGCTGCCGGCTGCCGGCTGCCGGACAAGCGTCTTTGTCTTTGGAGTCAAATGCTCTAATTGGCTCCGCGAGTCACGTGGACATAAAAGCAAATAAATATGTATTTGCTTCAAGTAAATGTATTTTTGAAACAAACAAATCACGTGTTTACGTTAATTATATGACATACATTGTATCAATTCTATTATTTTGTTAAAATAAGATATTATATGCTTGTATTAACATTTGATAAAACTAAATCCATACAACCTATATCCAAACAATTTAATTAATTCCTCTGAATAAATATTTCTTTACAATTAATCACAACAATAAGTTGTTTTCAAGAAACTCATGATTTACAACCAAATAATAGTATTTTCTTATTGTAAACAAGAAGTTACTACGAATAAGACAATTTTACTTCATACAAGAAAAACTGTTTCAAATAAATGCATTTTCTTAAATCAAGAGATTACTTTTCTCTAATAAAGTAATCTTGCATTTTCTACCAACCCTCTCGAAGAGGTTAAGCGTCTTCAACGCATCTAAACCAGGAAAACAAAACAGCCAAGCAAGAAAAAGAGAATTCCCACAGGACAGCAAGCCTAACTATTCGTAATATAAATCGGTACAAAACATTCATAATCTAGCACCAAAAGTAAACAAGCAGTCGCCGTAAACCTCAATAAATGTTAACATAAACAAAAGGTTCAGTCGCCTAGACAACAACAATAAACACGCCAACACATCACTATAAAGGGCTTTACTTAAATAAAGCTAAGGTTTACGAACATGGGGTTAAAATAATTTGTATATATACTTCCTTTACCTTCGCATTACTTCGGTTACAAACATTAAAAAGAAAAGAACAAAAAAACTATCGATAACTATCGGTAGTTACATTGCCGACTACTGAAAACTATCTATCGATAGTTCTCGACCCTAGACTGAAGAAATGGTTTTGCACAGTGGGGCAAACAATTTGCAAACAGCAGTTTCCGATTTTTCAGCACAGTAATTTTCCGCAGACAAAATGGTAAAAATATCTCTGGGATATTAATATAGGGCGATGCCGATGCCATACGTTCCTCATACTCAACAAGTATAGGTTTCGTCTGAACTATTATAAAATCCTACAAAAACAGCTGGACAGAGCATAGCACAATAAAAATTAGATAGAAAAACTAAAATCTATAAAAAAATGTATGCTGCTTACAAAAAGAAAAGTGCAAGTCCTAATAGGAATGATAAAAAGAAAATCGCATAAAAAGGGGTGTCCCTTATGTACCAAGTTGATTTTTTTACTTGGCTATCATCTAATTTATTTGTTTACAGTCTAAAAACAATTAGTCAAAAACAGTGAATGTTGAGCTAAGCGGACGCGTCACGTCAAGCGTCTCGATAGGCGCGTACTTTCTTTCATAGTTCCATCACCGCTAAAGTTCAATAACAAAAAAATCAATATCGATTCTACACGTGATAACTGTCCCAAGTGCAAAAGAGTGCAAATTGTGTGTGGTACCTCCCCCCGAGATTTAGTCCTCAAGTGTTTTACCTGGACGAGAGACGATGAGTTCAAATGAATAATTTCCTGGTCTACCACACGTGCGGGCGGCATGCGTTAAGGATCAATTTTATCACACCTGCCTGGCAATTATCCCGAAGTCTAAGTCTGCATAAATTAGATTAGAAGTAGTTACCAAAATTGTTGACCATATAATACCCAATAATATTAATACTAGTTAATACGAAATCCGCAATCTTTAACTAACAAATAATCCGTCAGGTAAAATTAATTAGTCGTAAACAATTTCCAAGATTCCCATGCACAAAAAGGAAACATAGTCAAAAAAACTATAAACACAAGGGCACACATAAGAAGCCATTAATCACTTAATTTACGATAAACATTAGGCAAAAGAAACCTTCTTAAAGAAATATTAGACTCAACGCACAGGGGGGCAAACAATTCTAAAGCGGCTACCAGGAACCGAAATCCGACTCGGTCAGCGACGAACAGGAAGTACACCATCAAGGATAGGCTCTAGCAGCATACTAATCCACCTACCCCCATTCAGGAATCCCAACTGAATGGGGTTATTACTAAAGCCCTGGTTGAGGAGGATTCCGGATTGTATTTAGTTTTGGGTCAGTTCAATGTCCTCCAAAAACCCTTCCTAAATTGGACGTATGGCTCGACCCGGCTGACAAAAATCCGTGGAGCGGCCTTAACCATAGACACTGTCATCCACGACCTCCTAGGGTGGATCTACCAGCCGGCGTAAAAACTTCGGATCCAACAAACACAGGTAATGCTGTGATTTGGCGGGATACGCAGGAGAACGGAAAGAGGGTAAAATAACCCTGGGAGATTAGTGGAGGATAATGCCTTTGGGGCCTGCCATACGTTCTCATACTCATACTCATACAGTCTAAAAACAATTGAAAACAATTGCGATGTCGTTTAACCCTTTCTTTAGTCATGCAACAATATATAAGGAAATTTTACGCTTAATTCAAACCCGTAAAATAAAAACTGCAATTTAACAATATAATATTTTTTACTTACTTTTAAAAACCTCAGGCAATCTAAAAATTGTTCATAGCTCATATATTTGTTGGAAAACAAAACACTCTCGCCAAAATTTTCCGAAATTTGTTCACTATCAGTAACAAATAGCAACAAATTCAAAATAATTTTATCCAAATTATTTTTTAAAATGTCCATTATTTCATTTTGGCTTATGTAGTTTAAAAGATCTAACATATATTTGTTTTTTGTCACTTTTTCTGTGGATAAGTTCTCGATTTCTTCATATATAAGTTTGGTGAAAATTTTTGGAGTCGCTTGCTGAAAAAACAATATTTTAATGTAATGATAAAACGAGCAAAAATTATTATTTTTATTATATGCATGTATTTTCCCTTACTATAATAACATTTTTTTCAGTGTTTAATTCTTCAGCTGCTTTTTTCAGCCCATGTGCATCGTACTTGATTAAAAATGGAACACAAATATGGATATATTTTTTGTAAAATTGAATTTCATTCGAACAATTCAACAATTTATAGGGGAATTGCCCCAACTTGTTGCCTTGATTAATCCATTTTTCAATAAGATTTGGTAGATTGTTCTCCAAAAAATAATTTTGCGATTTTGAGTTGGTTAACTTCAGACTAACAGTTGTTAGAATTTTATCCACGGATTCTGAAAAAATCTCCTTTAACATTTTGTTTCAAAATTTAGTAGACCTTGCAAATGAAAATTGCACCGCAAAATCTTTTGTATACGTACGTAAATTTACAAACTGTATAAGTTTCAACAAACATAACAAATATTCTTCCATCCAAAAGGTGCAAGACAACATCAATCTTGCAAACATTAACAGAACAGTCGCATTTCTGTTTGCTATATCGTCGGGGGAACCACTTTTTTGAACTTCTTTTTCACTCTAAAAAAATAGTCACGTTACAGAGTCAGTGCCGTATATTATTTATGCGTCACTTACAACTTCATATATCGTATGGATAATAATTTCTTGTCGATGTATATCGGAGATATTTTCGTTTTTCGAAGTCACTTCGAAAAACAATACCAAAGTTTCTATAGCTTTAAGACGCACTTCAATGTGCTCATTCGATAGAAAAGCCGGCACCAGCGCAATTAATTCTTGGCCTTCCACTTTGGAAAAAGAAGCTGCCGGATCCACCTGAAGTTATTTAATTTTTTTATACAGGGTTTCTATTTAAAAACGAGCAATATCTTTCTGATACCTCATTGGAAAGCTCTAAAAATATACTGTTTGTTTTCCGCAACAGCTGACTGTGTTGAAAGTATTTTTAGGTGAAAGTTCAAAATGCATATCCCTATTGAAAATGCCATATAGAACCCATATTGAATCCGATAAGGAAACGTATCTGGTTCTATATGGTTTTATAGGTCCTATATGGAAAGTCCTGGTTTACATTACGGATTCTATATGGTTGAATATGGATTTCCATTTTAAAAATTTTCATATTCAACCATATAGGGAAACCTATCTAGAAATACATATAGAACAGAAACCAGATAAAATTTATAAAGACATGTATATGGTTGCATATGGATTTATCTGGTTTCTGTTCTATATGTATTTCCAGATAGGTTTCCCTATCTGGTTCTATAGTGTTTTAGAGTGTTTTTATCTGGTTCTATAATGTTATCTTCTATCTGGTTCTATAGTGAAATGCCTGTTTCAAATACCTATATTGAACCAGATAGAAACCATATAGAATCCAGATCCGTGTTTTTTATATGGTTCTATATGGCATTTTCAGGGATTACACAAGAACTTGGCGTTTAGAATTTTGTAAAATCATGACCAATAAAATAACAAATTATATCCAAATACTAAAAAACATTTGCTTCAGCCATGAGTGTACTTTTTATCCAAATGGATTTCCATTTGTTTAAAAAGTACAATCAAACAAAATTGTTGTTATTGGAGCAATGAAAATCCTCATCTCATCAGAGGATATCTGGGCAGAAATTTTGGGAGAATGTACTACTATTGACAAAAATTTGAATGGTCAAATTTGAAATGTTACATGAAGCAATACAGCCACTAAAAACAAATGAACTACAAAATCAAAGAGAAGGGGGTGATGAACTAGCTTTGGATGAAAATGTAATACATTTAAGATAGGGCACTACCTCATTATGTAGCTGTTAGGGCTTGGCTGGATAAGAATTATCAAGAATAGTGGATTGCCAGAAGAGGACCAATAGAATAGCCTGCCAGATCTCCAGATCTGAAACCATTAGACTTTTTCTACAAAACTCAGCCTCATTCTATTCTATGTCAATTTTTTGATATTATTTTTAGGTCCAACCTTATATATAGAGTATTGCTCGTTTTAAATAGACGTATAAAGAAGGACCCGATTAATCGATTTTTTGATAAGGGAAGATTTCTAATTCTTACCTCATATAAACTTTCAATACAGTCCAATATGGCATAGGAAACTTTTGGGCCATACTTATCTTTGTTATTATAAAAAGTCGACATTATTCCAATACCCTTCTCCTGAATTTCTCTGTTTAGATGCGGCATGTGAGGGTAAAAATCTAAAAACAATCATAATATATTATTAAATTTAAAAATTACCAATTGTTTAATAAAATACCTACATTTCAATATATCTAATACAGACACTACATAATCATATATACGATACTTCTTTTCGCATAGTTTTTGTATATCGTCGACAATATTCATAGCAATTGCATTCGTCAATAAACCTGGGGTGGCATATTTTAAATGCTCTAAGACGACGAGAACCTAAAAGGTTTTTGGTAAGGAGGAATATTAAAATATTTATTTTCTAGAGTAAAAGTTCCAGAAACGCTAACAATTTTAATTTTTTGTTGCCTATGCGTTTTGAGGAATTTTACCAAATGAAAATTTACAATTTTACAGCCATCTTCATTAACCACATCGATATTGTCACAATCGCAAAGAACATCCAGGACAAACGTTTGATTTTCAAGAATTTCATCTTTACTTGATACAAAACTGTACAAAGACAATGTTTTCATCAGAGATTCCTTGATTTTAACCAATTGTGGAGAAGCGTTACCATTCGATTTTTCTAAAAGTTAAAAATTGTCATTCGATGAGTTCACAACGCGCTCATTTGAAAGTCAATATGACGGCAAGATGAATTCATAAGACGCGCAATATTTATTTTATTTTGGGAATTTTCGCGAAAAAATAGATGTTCAATATATTTTTTCCGAAATGTATAAATAAAACAATAGTTTTGATTCTGGTCAATGTTCACAAATCACAAATGGTATCTGAGAATACATACCTTCCTGAATAAAATGATTCCAATCGAAGATAACTTTCAACAAAGATTCTGAAACCAACTTTCTGACAAGAAGGGAAACATTTCTGTTCTTCTTGGGCGAAAATATCCTGTACAGAATGTCCATATGGGAAACCATGTTCGATAAAAGGGCATTTTTGTTTGCCAAAGAAAAAAAATCTTCCAATTTCTCCATGTTAATTTGGAGCAAGTCCACCAATGTGGGACATTCATCTCGTATATTGTTATCCAAAATGAAATCAATTAAGTTGACTAAAAATTCTGTGATGTGTAGAGTGCTTTCTATATCTTTTGGTGCGCAGTTTTTTCGTAATATTAGCATAAACCTATACAGCGCTTCAAAATCTATAACTCTATTCTCAACACAATGTTTCTCATCTGTTATTTCTTTAGTATCATCCAGATTTAAATTTATTTTATAGTAAACATCTGTGATATCAGTAAAGTTACTTTTTTCCTCTATTGAATCCTCCAAATAAATTTCATGGGGCCATTGCTTGAACAGCAAGCAACCAAATATAAAAACGCTTTCCTTACAACACAAGAACTTTGTTGAATACAAATTAAACAACCAATTTATAATGGACTCTTGCTTTGTTGTATCAGGTCTGGAAAAACTTATTTGTGGCAGTAATGCAAATATTGTTCTAAGTCCATTTTCGCTGGTGTACTTTGAAATTAAAAAAAATTGCAGCAGTTTTTCTGCATCAACAATGTTTTTCCTTAAAACTAATCTTCTTAGGAGTATTTGAGTATTGTCAATGTTCTGAAATGATCTAAAATACTAATGTTATAATTTATTTACTTATTTACTTTAGTATTCCATACAATAATGCATATTTTGAGATTTCTTTCCACTGTTTTAAAACGTTTTTTTTATTTCCAACATTGATTTTATTTTCAATTTCTTCCAATATAATCAAACATTGGTAAGCATGATATTTTAAATTTATTTCCTGACTTTCCACTATTATAGATGATAAAATTTTTAAAAAATTGTCAATACCGTCTAAATCTATTAAGGATGGATATTTTTTGAGGGTGAAACTTAGCAAATTTATCCTTAAATAAAAAAAAACTTTACTCATTGAAATTCTACTTTGCGTTTCAGTTTACTCACCAAGGCCACTTCTTATTGGTTTTGATATTGTGAATGATACTTTTAACATTTATTTCATCAATTTTGGCTTTTTTTTGAGCTGGCATTTGACTTACAGTGGTCATAGATAAACTCATATTTAAATCATTTGTGCCATTCAACTAAAATCAGTAAAAAATGTGGAGCAAAATCCTTGAACAAAAATATTAATATTACCTGATTCAGCAACTCAGCAAAGAGCATTTTAAACGTATCCAATATATTTACAATATCTTTGTTAGACGGTATAAAGTAAGATGTGTTCTTATAACTAAGTTTTAAGTAAAACTCGACCTCTTTAATTAATATTGAGTACATTTTGATCATGTAATTTTTCCATGCAGAGGAGGAGATGGCCATGTTGCCACTTTCTCCATTTGGATGATGCATAGTCATTTGTAACAGAAAATAATCCAACAATTTTACCTTCAGTTCTTCCTCCCTTCCATTACACTCGTAAAGCTCAAACAAATTCAAAAAAGTATGATCACCCAACTCACAACAAGTTATTCTGCCGTCTTTGGCAATCTAAAAAAACTAAAAATTACAAAAAATACATAAAAAACAACAAAAAATACATTTTTACAAAAATCCGTGACAATATCGACGATATCCTGCTGTATAACTTTGTGATGAGATTTCTTGACATTTTCCACCAAATTATTGATAAACAGCACCTCATCTCTGTAACTTTGAGGCGAATAACCACAGGATGGAGCAAATTTAAACAATAACATCAAACATTTTATATAATGCTGCTTTAAATCTGAAGTTACATTGGCTTCTGCGTAAAATGATTTCAACAAATCAAACAAATCTAAAAAAGTACCCACATCACCACCATGCTACCTATATACATATATTAAAAAAACTTACTTTTCCAGTGATCCCCATCCACTTTGGATCTGTTACTTTCCGGCAATAACACAAAATCTTTTAGGGCGGTTAAAAGTGAAACTTCAAAGCATTTTTTCATTTTTACGTTCCTTAAGCATGAAATAATGTGTTCAGTTATATCCTGAATATTAAGGACATCCTCTGGAAATGTTTTATTTCTCATGTGAAAAGTGACCTATTTTTTTAATGAAAAAGCCAGCAAACAAGTCAACTTTATTTGCTGAGCAAGACCAAGAAATTTATTTTACTGTTGATGTTAACCATACTTACTTTCTTGAAGGCCGTATTTTAATACGGCCAGATACAGATCGGAAGATATGTAACAAGAACATACATCACTGCCTTTTTTTTTCATATCATCAAATAGTTTGTCAGCATCCTAAATGGATTATTAGTTAAAGAAAAAACAGTTTACATACCCAAATAATGGTTACCTTTAATAAGCAGTGTTGCACCCCCGTAAGGAGCCTATTCCAACCCCCATTATTCAGCTGCTGGATAATCTCAGGATCGTTTATGTTGCCAATAAGATATTCGCAGGCTTTTTTTCTGTCTGTGACTCTTCTTGATTCCAAAAGGGAGATTTGTTCATCCAGTTGTTGGCTCATTTTAAGAACTTAACTTAAGTTTAATTGAGATTACAAAATTTAAATAAACACAATATAAACACATCATCTCCTTCTTCTTCTTTAACATTTCATTCCCTCCACAGAGTATATGGAGAAAATTAGTCTTGAGTCTTCTGGACTCTTACTGACCAGCCAATAGTGTTCTATTGTGTCTAATTTTTTCTTTTTCGGTAGAGATACTTCTTCTTTGTAAGTCGATAAGGTGAGATAAAAATAAACCAGACCAACCCCCAGGAGGATCCCAGGATGCTAAATATATCATATCTTTATGTTAGATTTAAATATACTATAGCTATGGGTTTTTGAAAGCGTACATGCAAGTATTGATTTAATGTTAAAAGGCATATCGTATCCTATGGACAATAAGCGAGTAATTAGGAGGCTAATATTAGCACTATTGTTATTACATTCAAAGAATAGATGATCTAGATGTCCAAATTTTCCACATCCTACAGAGGTGCGCAGACTCTGCGCCGCAGAGAAGGAACAATGACTCATTCCCAATAATCCCTTAGTAACCAGGGAACCAGCATAAAGCACATCACATCACATTGTACCTATAGCTGTTTAATACTTAACGACAGATTGCTAGCCTTTCCGTTCCATGGAATATTTTTGATCTGTCTAATGAAGTTCAGAGAGTCAGAGATTAAAAAAAAAATTTATTTTATCTTTTAAGAACATTTTTAACGCAAAAAAAATTCGGCAGGTGATCTGCAAGAAAAATAGACGAAGAGTGGACACTTTCAAATCGACAGTAATATTTATTATTGATAATTTACTTGTTAATTATTATATAATATCGATATAAAAAGATAACTATGCCAAAAATAATATCAGATTCTAAAGTAAAAGAACTTTTAAGGGCAAAACTTCATCTCGATGAAGTTATGCCAAATGCCTCAATGGCAGAAAAAGTACATTGCCTTATGGACATTTTTGGAGTAAATAGTAACGTTTTTGGTTTTATTTTTTTTTATGTCTTCATTACAGTCTAATTGCTATCTTCTAAGGCAGAAACCGATTTACATTGAAATCTGTTTCCAACTTCGCGCATCTAAATTGTTGACAGAAATCCCTATACATTTTGTTTAGGTTTAATTATGTTTTAAGTTAAAACCCCTTTTGTAATTTGAAGTCAAATTCTAAGCCAGCTATACTAGCTTAAGCTGAATTAAAAAACAAAGTCATAAAACAACAAACAATTAATTGTTTGTTGTTTTATGACTTTGTTTTTTAATTCAGCTTAAGCTAGTATAGCTGGCTTAGAATTTAGTTATAACTGAATATAAATATCTCTTGGTTCATAAGAGAGTGTTTCTATTCAAAATTGACAACGTTGTAGATATGTAGATATTGTTGAGACTATCACTTTTTTTAAATAAGTATTTTGAGCTTTTGTAAATAATCTACCTTCCTTTGTTTTAACAAATCTCTTAGTTATATATAAATTTAAAAATTGTGTATGGTATTAAATTGACAATTCAAAAAAACTTTAATTTTTTAAGGCCACAATTTATTTTTATTAATAACGGAGATAAAAAGGTTTATGTAAAAACAAAAGGTAGATAATACAAAAACAAAAGCGCAAATAAAAAATATTAATTTTATATTATATTATATATAACGTTGTCCATTTTGAGTATAAACACCCTGTATAGTTGTTGTATAATTAAGAATTTATTTTGTTGCAGCTTTTAATTTTAGGTATTATACTTTTTTTATAATATGTAAATGAAATCATTCATATTAAAAATCTGGTTTTAATTTGTTTAAATTATATCTTAATTTAATAAAACACGTTCTCTGATGATACAGTTCATATTTATAGAATAGCTAAAAAAGTATTGGGTTTTCGCAACGCGCGCGCCCTCTGGTGGAGTTCATTGTGTGAATTAAAGAATTGTCAACAATACATTTAAAGCATACATTTTAAATAAATAGGTAGTTTTTTCACAAAAGAGAGAAAGGTAGAAGTCTTACTCGACAAATTTTGTTTAATTGCACAGCTAAATCGCGCACGTTATTTGTGTTTTACGTTGCAAGGAAAAAACTAAAAAACTGATTTAGTACTCGATTTTGATTGATTATTCCTTATATTATTGATTAAGAAACTCAATGCGTATATAGTTAAGTTAGTGTGTGTATTTTATGTAAGGGGTCAGGGTGAATTATTGTGCTTTTAATTGTAAATAAAATTCAAGAACTAAATCGTTGCATTTTCATGTTTTGCCAAAGGATCCAATTCAGTAAGTACATTGGTTGGTACAGAATATATTAATGATAACTAAACCTAATAATAATTTATATTTAAGTTTGAACATTTTTAAGAAATTAGTAAAAAATAATTGTTGCACAAACATAACCTTAAAATTGAACATTTTTATATTCACGGTGTCCCTGAACGAAGTTTAGGTCACATAAAAATGACGCCAAAAACTGATTGCAGTTTCTTGTTCGGGACCCTTTGGTGACTTAAAAATGATATTTACCAAAATCCTAGCTGATCCTCTTTTCGAAATTTTTTGAAAATTCATGATTTTTTTTTTAATTTTTGTCTACCTTTGACAGAGTACACATTTGTACACCGACTTTAATAATATTGGAGTATATTGTTAAGGAGATTTGGAGAATACTGTTTATACTGTGCACATCATTTATTATATACAGGGTTAGCCAAAAATTGCTTCTTTTAATAAAGCAAAAGCGTAAATTCATGATTTTGGCATAACACGCAAAAAAGATATATACCCACCTATGTTTTTTTAGATATTTTTATGTTTATCAGGCTACAAAATGGGATTCTTATCAAGACTTTATAAGAAAAATTGATTTTGAATAAAATTAAATAAAATAAATTTTTTTGGAGATAAATCTGTTTTGTGCATTATGCTTTTTACTATATAAAAACGTGATTTTTGGCTAACCCTGTATATATTAAATGATGTGCATAGTATAAACAGTATTCTCCAAGTCTCGTTAACAATATACTCCAATATTATAAAAATTGGTGTACAAATGTGTACTCTGTCAAAGGTAAGATAAACAAAAATTAAAAAAAAAAATAAGAATTTTCAAAAAAATACGAAAAAAGGAGCAGCTAGGATTTTGTTAAATATCATTTTAAAGTTACCAAAGGGTCCCGAACAAGAAACTGCAATCAATAAAAATCGGTGTACAAATCTGTACTCTGGCAAAGGTAGACTTTGCGATAAACAAATAATTTAAAAAAAAAATGATTTTTTAACAAATTTAAAGAAAAGCAGTTAGAATTTTGGTAAATACCGTTTCTAAAAATCCAAAGAGTGCCGATCAAAAAACTTTAACCTGTTTTTCGTTCAAAATTGAAAACTTCTAAAAAGCCTAAATTAAACAACATTTTAAATATTCTCTAAGCGTTATTTTATTTAATTTTACTAAAAATCAATTTTTTTTAATAAAAGGTTAATAACAATGCCATTTTGTAACCTAATAAACATAGAAATATCAAAAAAAAAAATGGCGATACATCTGTTTTGCTTGTTATGAATTTACGCTTTTGCTTTATTAAAATTAAGCGATTTTTGGTCCACCCTGTATATATCAAATGATGTGAACATTATTAAAAAGTATTCTTTAAGTCTCCTCAATAATATACTCTAATTTTATAAAAATCGGTGTACAAATGTGTACTCTGTGAAAGGTAGACTTTGAAATAAACAAAAATTAAAAAAAAAAATCATCAATTTTGAAAAAATTTCGAAAAAAGGATCAGCTAGGATTTTGGTAAATATCATTTTTAATTCACCAAAGGGTCCCGAACAAGAAACTGCAATCAGTTTTTGGCGTCATTTTTATGTGACTTAAACTTCGTTCAGGGACACTGTGTATTGGAGTCCTCTAAAAAACGCCGACAAGTTGTCGGCGACAACTGCATTTTAAACAACAAAATATAATTCATGGCAACATAATATTAAATATAATACATAATATAATGGTATTCTACCGTTGATTGGAGACTTTTTTAATCAACGCTTTTAATATTGCTACATGCAGTTTGAATTTAGACGACTTATTTGTTTGACGATTTTTACTAAATTAAAATGTTTACACTCTTCACGTTAATCATTACTAAAATGTGTATTTATTAATAATAATAATAATAATAATAATAATAATATTTATTCATGTTATAAATTTTACAATTTTTACATTCGTCAGGTACAGTATAAAATATTTAATTAGTTAAACCCTTGATTTTTTTTTTACACTAAACTAACAGCTACCAATAAGAGTATACAAAAATAAAATAAATAATTACATTATGTCGGCACTCGTTAAAAATTCATTAAAATTATAAAATGCATGTTGTAAAGATAATTAGTCCATAAGAAAGCATGGAATGTATAAAAGAATGGTAAGCAATTTTTTGGACTTCCAGATGAACAAAATTGCTGATTTCACGAAGGAGGAATATACTGGAAGTTAATTTATTTGCCAGATAATTTATGTGGTGTTCAAACGTCAAGCGGGTATCAATTATGATCCCCAGAAATTTAGAGAAGTCTGGATTTTCTCCTGAGATATTTCTTAGTGAAAACACCATTTTTGTAGTTTTTTCTTCATTTAGTGATAAATGGTTTGCTAGAAACCACCCTTTTACACATTTCATGCAATCCTCCATTGAACTTTTTAGGCTATTTAGACAATTACTTTTATAAAAGACAAAGTTGTGTCATCTGCAAACAGAACTAGTTCATTTACCGCCTCAAGTGATGAAAGATCATTTATGTAGATTAGGAAGAGAAGAGGCCCCAATATAGAGCCCTGGGGAACTCCATGCCTGACCAATCCTCGATCAGAGATAACACTATCAAAATACGTATATTGGTATCTGTTTTCCAAGTAGCTAGTCAGCAACTCCAGCCCCGTCTCATTGACACCATAATAATGTAATTTTTTTAAAAGGATCTTGTGGTCGACGCAATCGAAGGCCTTACTGAGGTCGCAAAATACTGACCAGTGTAAAGCTTACTTTCAAAGCCCTCGATTATGTATTCCACAAGCCTTATGCAAGCTTCACTTGTGGACTTTCCAACCCTAAACCCATATTGGTTTTTTGTTAATAAATTGTTGTAGTTTGTATACTATCCAATTCAATTTGGCTAATATGAAAACCAAAACTTCTAGTAACACAAAATAGCCAAGCTTTAGCTAGTTTGTAAACTAACCAACTAATTCTCTGGCTGTTGCCCATTTTAGTTGGGTTTTTTGCTCAATGGGGCGGGGGGCCCAATGGGGCGGGGGTCGGATGGGTTTTGTTGTTGAATTTGGGTTGGTTTGGGTTTTTCTCTCTCATTTTTGACCATTTGACCAATGGGGCGGGGTCGGTAGGGTTGTGTTGTTGAGTTTTCTAAGGAAGCGTTAAAATTTTGCCTATGATTCATTTTAAAAACTTTAAAATGCACAAAACAAATCCGGTTAAGCCAGCAAAACGAAAAACAATGCCGTAACCTCACTTTTTTAATAAATTAGCCAGAGAAACTAGCTAAAGCTTGGCTATTTTGTATTACTAGAAATTTTGGTCTTCATATTAGCCAAACTGAATTGGATAGTATACCTACAAACTATCCAGCTATTTTAGTTTCCCTAATAATTTCAAGTAAATTAGCCAAGATCCTTGGTTATTTTGTAAACTAGCCGCTAATTTAGTTGAAAATATGTTTTCAATTAAAATAGCTGACAGTTTGGCTAGTTTATAAACTATCCAGCTAGTTTATAAACTATCCAAGTTTGCACATTAGCCGTAACATATATATTAGGGTGTCCCTTATTTTTTATTTTTTCACGCATACCCTCTAATTATATTTATTACGTGTTTATATACTCCCAGTAAAAATTTCAGCTCATTCTATAAACGGGAACCCGTGCCGACTTGCATCTGAACCCTCCGTTAGCCAACGTTAGGCGCGCGGTATTTTGTAACACGGTTGGTCGCGAGGTTCGATCGTAAGTCATTTTGTGTTTGTTATTATGTGGCCCTTATATTGACAAATGTTAAAATATAGTTTTATTTATATGTATACTTTGATAAAAATGTATATTTTCACAGGGAGTGGCTAGTTACCCGGAAGGGTCTGGTGAATAGGCCGTAAACTCTGAAATTGATAAACTTATGGGTTTTACTCTAAATACCTAAAAGAGTCTATTTTGAGAGATGACTACCGAAAACTTATTGAACTGTCTGAAATATTTTTGGGAGGACATCAAGAAAAGAAATGCTTATAAAAAGCTGAAATTTCATATAACAGTATATTTTAGCAATACTAATTAGTATATTAATATATTTAAGGGATAAAATCAACTAAATTAGTGAAACAAATGATAGAAACAAAAGCAATAATATTAATTAGTAATCATATTTAATAAAATCATTAGAAAAATACAGTCATGAAGTATATCTTCTTTTTAAAGTGTTTTTTTTACAATTAGGATATAGATTTCTGTGCTGTTGCAAGAAGAAAATGTTTCTGCTCTTCATCGGCGGTTAACAAACCGTGAAAGTCCTGCATTAGCTTAGCTCAATAAGTTTTCGGTAGTCATCTCTCACAATAGACTATTTTAGTTATTTAGAGTAAAACCCATTAAGTTTATCAATTTTAGAGTTTACGGCCTATTCACCCGACACTTCCGGGTAACTAGCCACTTCCTGTAAAAGTGTTCATTTTTATTAAAGTATACACATAAATAAAACTATATTTTAACATTTTTTAATAATTTATAATATAAGGTTCACATAATAACAAACACAAAATGACTTACGATCAAAATACCGCGCGCCTAACGTTGGCTAACGGAGGGTTCAGATGCAAGTCGGCACGGGTTCCCGTTTATAGAATGAGCTGAAATTTTTACTGGGAGTATATAAACAAGTAATAAATATAATTAGAGGGTATGCGTAAAAAAAATAAAAATAAGGGACACCCTAATATATATATATTATAATAGATACAATTTATATTTACAGGGACTGTATGAAATTTATTTCTTAATTCGGATTAACACTGTTTATTGGAAAACCGGTAAAAACTCAACCCAGGATTTCCTTTCGAAATACACCCCACAACACAACAAATCGTGTCACGGTTTTTCCGATATTTTTTAACATTTTCCGGCTTTTTTTTTAAACATTCGTTTGTTACATAAGCGTTTGACAGCTGATTATTAAAAGTTGTAGTTTTGTTACGATGATAACGGCCGAGTGGTGGGGCTACTAGTGATGCTTCTTTAGCCTACCGTAAACACGGGTGGCTTTAGCTCACTTTCAAACTTAAGCTTAAATTTTTGGTGGTTTTAACAATCCTAAACATTAAATATTGTATACCAAAATTTGAGTCTTGAGTTGCTCTTTCATAATAACTATGTTATAATATTACGTAGGGCTGAGCTTCAAAAATAAAAATTAAAAACTGGGTGTGCAAAGTTACCCCCTGGTTGCGGGTAACTTTTTCTCACAGTTTATTTGCCGTATAAAATTAACTCAATATTTTATTTTATTTTTATTAGACACATATTAGCAGCAACATATAGCCATTGCAAGGGATTACCGATAAAATAATAAAAAATCGTACTGTAGTTAACCAAGGATCATAATTCCAAAGGATTGCGCATAATATAGAAATTGTAACGCGTGTATTTCTAAGAGTTTTGCACTGATGCAATATATACAATTTTAAAGTGTAATAAATCCCATTTATTTTTTTAAAGCACTGAATTTCCTGTAATATAAACTCAATAGAATCGCTCAATTGACAGGTTTAGACCAACAAATTATAAATGTTAATTTTATCGAGCGCGCAAAGCCACCCGTGTTTACGGTATATTTTCTATATTGTAAATGTTAAATTCATGTAATCTGGGTTGCATGTGAGTAATTACCGTAAACATTTTACATCTGGCAACATCACTTTATATATGTCGGTTCTTGTAAAAAAACTGTAAAAAAGCATTTTTAAACTTAATTTTCTTAAAAATTACTGAAAAACACGAAATTTTTTTTTAGAGTGTTTTTTATTGTTCTGGACCCAACTGTTATAGTACTTCCGTACCACCAAAGCACCAAATGTACCTAAAAGGTACAAATTTACCACCTCTGGCAACACTGTGTGTTGGGCGATTTGGAAAGGAGATCATAGATTAATAACCTCTAGAAGATCACCTATTCTTTTAATCTCTTATGTTCTGTGTTTAATGTCATAAGTTCTACCCAGAGGCCCTTGTCTTTGGCTCTACCACCCCCTGAGTAATGAGGTATTTTTTACTAATTATGATATGGCAGCAGACAGAAAAGCAAAGTACAAAAGAAAAAATACTCACTTTTATTTTCCTTGTCTCTGTTATTTTCTTTCCTCTTTACAGCGGGAGCAAAAACACACAACCTCACTCACTTGTGGTCAAATCGGGAACATAACAAACCGGGAATCTAAATATAAAGAAAATATTGTACCATGTTATCTCCTGATTAGAAAAAAGCGGCTAATTTATCGCCATTTAAATGTCATTTAAGTAGTTCAAATTGTTTACACTGAGTTTCATAGAAATCACTTATTTTGAATTCGGTTAACAAATAAAACTACACCATAATTATACACTGTATAATATACACTACAAGGAGCATTGCCATTTCATATAGGTGACATCACTGTTACATAGTAGGTAAGGAACAATTTTTATGTCAATGTTATATCACTGTGACTGTCACAGTGTGACATGATTGGGTTTGCTGGGTTGGTTATGGTTTACATCTGGATAATGATATTTGTATGAAATATTTTCCCGAAAATTTACTTTGTTATATATTTTTTTAATCTACAAAATTTATTTATTTTATAGTTTTTTTGTTATAATTCGTTCAAAACCGTAACTATTGACAATATTGTCTTATCTTATGTGCGTTTTTTAAAAGTAGTTTTTAATATTATTTTTAAACTCGAATGCTAAATGACTAAAAACTACTTCATTGACAGTATAAAATGTGTTGACATTTTAAAATCTGTTTTTGTTAAAGCGCCTTATATCACTTTGCTAAATTACGCAAAGTAAAAAATACCACTTAAGTAGACACACTGTATAAATGCGTTTACCTACTTAAATATGGTTAATGTGGTTTTGACATTCTAAATTGCAAATAAGTCTTAAGTTCAAAATACATTCTTAAGTACCTATGGTTTTGTCCTCGTTTTGCCTTCTTATTTTAGTTTTTCATCATTTTAGCATTTTATTATTTTAGTTTGTCCTCATTGTAGCTCGTCCTCATTTGAGCTTGTCCTCATTAAGATTGTCCCCATTTAAGTTATTTAAACATTTTAGATTTTTATTTTTTTTTAAAACGTCATAAATTAATACAAAATAAATTGATTTAAATAAAATGTACATTTATAATATAATATTATTACAAAAAAATATTTTTTTAAATTTTCATAATTTGTTATGATAAAACAAGTGTGATAACAGAAGAAATTTAACGTATGCTGTAGAAATAAAACAAAATTACATTATCAAAAATATAATTAAATAAACACTTACGTAGTTCCTAACAAATAGAGAGGAACATTTTAACACTTAGTTTATAAATAAGGTTGCCAACCATAAAAAAGGCGGCACAAATTTGAAGGATCCATAGCCTTCTGGATTAAAGTGCCGACTTGGTGCTCAATGCTCGCTTGATTTCCCTCTTCGGTACCTTGCAGCTTACTGCGCAGACGCAGTAACGCTCTCTCGGCAGTTATGTTCAGTTCTTTGCCAGCTAAAAATATTACAGCGAGTAATATATAACATGGTCCTAACAAATATGAAAGTGAAAATTAATACTCACATTCTTCATAGGAATCATCTGTGTCGGAATGTTCGTCCAAATCGTCAGTTTGTCTTTTATTGGCTTCAGCGGGAGTGACACTCCAAGAATATAAAGGATCATAAAGAAGAACCTCCAAAATTGTTAGTATTGTTTGTGCGTTTGTTCTAAGGACTTCCATAGTTTTCTCACAGGATCTAAGAATGTCGAGAATGTTAGTTTTAATATACATACAAGTATTATTTTACCTTTTAAAAATTCCCTCAACACCAGATATACCCATACCATCAACTATATCTCTGGTAAGCCTGAATGGTATGGTTTCAGGGGTTGGTAGGCACCTTCCTTGTTCAAATGCTATACCTAAAAATTTGGCATTTTGATGCTGGTGATTTTTTTTGTTGATTTGTAAGAATTTTCTTTAGGTTTTATTGATTTTTTTTTAACAAAAATTGCTTCTTGCAGTGTAAGCACTTTTAGAGAAACAATTAAACTGAACATTACAATACCACGAAGTGTTTATAAATTTGTTAACGCAGTAAAATGATTTATCGTTTAATAAATTTTATATATGTACTCTTATAATACACAAAAACATTTATTAATTCTAAGGTTGATGGATATTATAGAATCTTTTTTATCGAAAAACCACATCCTATTTGTGTAAAGGAATAAAAAGAATGTGCTATTATAGTTATAGAATTTCTCGCTGATAACGACCTTATCTAATTATTTGAAGAAAAGATTTTATTTTATTCGACGTCCGTATTATTAAATAAAATTACCGTAAAAGAAATGAATAGAAACGAATTAAATTGAATTAAAGATAACCAAGATTTTTTATTGTCACAATGTACTTACCAAAATCAATGTGTATAACTTCAGCGGTGTTTTTGTCGACTAAAATGTTGCTGACGTGCCTATCGCCGATACCCAGTATATAACCACACATGCTGGTGGTGGCAATACTGTGTATGTAGGCCCTGCGCCTTTCGTACCAAACTGTTGGTTGCAAAAAGTGTTCTTCGAAAAATTTGTGGAAAACCGGCTTGCTCCTCTTGCAAATCGTATTGAAGATCGCTAAGCGAACCTCCTGGGACTCACCGACTCCGTTCTTTAACAATCAGTTAATAAAATGTAAGACGTTAAATTCTTTTTTTGTATTTTACCTTATATTGGTTTCGGCACTCTGTGGGAGATAACTCTTCCTTGGATTTGTACCGAGAATGTGCCCCCTCAAGCCCTGGGCCCCCAACAAGGTAATTTCCTATGGGCATGCTGTTATCTACCCATTCTAGTATGCCACTTCTCATAGATAAGGGCATTATCTAGAATAGTAAAATAGCACGTCTGAAACCAACGAGTACCTACCTATGTAAATTGCTTACCTTGTATGTTCTGATTCTCAAGCACGTGGTTTGCTTATTACTGGCCAACAAACTGTTCATAATGGTAAAAACCTGTTCCATCACGGAATCTTGCCTCAAATCATCGCGCCCTTTGACCAACTGGGATCTTTCGATACCGTCAGTTCCCCTGCATTTAATTCTTTTGGGCGCATTGATACCACCCACATTGCTGAAGCTTGCACTAAACGAAGCGATTCCTGTCAAAAAAATAGTACGTTGTTTTATAAGGAGCTGAAGGTTCACTATTTGTGGCGATTGTGCCACAAAAAATTACGATCCTCCTCATAAAATATACCTACTATTTTTTTTCGCCGAATACATAAAATTTTCCCAAAAAAAAAAAACAATTTTTAAATGATCTCGACCACAGAGGAGGAGACGTTGTGTTTGCTGGTGAATTTTTTGTTGATTTGTAAGTATTTTCATAGTTTGTTGATTTTTTACTGAAACTTGCTTCTTGCAGCATTACTAATTAATTTAAGCAATTTATCTCCAATACTCCTAATAAAGTATAGTTGTAAATTAAGGTAACATTGTTATCATATAAAATGCTTAAACGATAAACCCACAAATCCAGAATACCAGAATCCAGAAGAGGTAATTATTCTATAAGGTAATTCTGATGTGTTATAAAAAATATCATTCATTTGCGTATTGTTTAGCAAGAACTGTAACAATCTCCCTGTTTTAAAACGTTTTTTGTGAAATTATGAAAATAAAACCATTCACTTAGTAATTTTTGTGTGTGCCAGTTGCTAATAGCTTAAGGCTGGCACGCACCGTTTATATTTGACGTTTTTTTGTAATTTTAACATTTCGTCCGGAAGCATCGTTTGTTGCAGATTATTATAAATAATTTTATACATTGTGTTTATTATGTTCTACCACTGGATTGTGCAAACAATGTTACAAGGCAACGCCAACAGTTGATTGCGAAGACATTGCGCCTTTAATAATAAATTGGGGTAAATAATCATACTCCAAGTCTGACCTGGTTCGTTATGACGACAAAGCCGACTAGTAATTTAATATTTTTGTGCTTCTGGTAATATAGTATTTCTTGTTATGTACATATGTAATAAAAATGTAATAAACTCCGTTTGTTTCCTCTCTAAACACATTTAATCAAAATTTGCCCGGACAAACTCCTAATTAGTAAGTGCAGAGTAAGAGATTATAACGATGATGTTATAATTCCATCTTAATAAACAGCCCCAACAATACACGAGCGTTGATAATTTCGAAATTCACCAAGCCTTCAGGTTTATACCCTATCACGTAGAAGAATCCGTATGAAGAACAAAAATACAATAAAAAAAACATTAAAAGAGGTGAACAGGGAAAAATGAACCAACATCTTAATAGACCAAAGAATACCTGGCTAGTCAGCAAAGCAAGTTCGACTTAAAATTAGAAACAAGCATATCCGACCAAAGGACGTGACTTAAAAAAGTACTAATAAACCCATACATTTTAGGTAAGTCAACACTCTAAACCAATTTCTGGTCTTCGCCTAACATAAACATAATAAACCACTTAAACTATCAGACTTCAAACAAAAGTAATAGCCTTCTGCGAGACGTATAAGAGTTAAAAAAAAAACAAATGTTAAGAGCAATTTCATACACTTACCAACAATATTTTCATAGTTGTTACTTTTACTGACAGGTAAAGTAACGGTTGGTAGCAAAACATTATCAAAAGACCGTATCCTTGTAACTTTCAAAGATGATGGTATACTAAAGTCGATTTTTCTCGCGTTGGTATTTTTGGCTTCGTAATAAGCCAGCTCTATTAGGGCTTTGGCAACTTTGTCCATCCTATCCACAAGATCAGAGTCCATGGTATCCTTGACTTTTCTCAGCAAGCTATTCGCGCTGGACACCCTGTCGTCGTTCGAGAACGTGTTCGTTTTGGACTTGGTAAACCTGCGGTCTTCGTTTGCGTTCGATAACGACAACAGCAGCGGCAACGTGTGATGCGGATGTTCGAGGGCGCATTTTTTTACGATGTTGAAAATTTCCGTGGCAAACAAGTCCAAGTTGACTTCGGATATATGCGGTACCAACTGGGGTAGCATGTCGATGTACTTGTAACTCGGGACTTTGTTCATACATTCAACGATGATTTTTTTTATGGAAGCGTTTGCTCTGTTTTCGAGGAACAAAGACATCACACGGAAGATTCTTATGTTGTTTTTGTCGCTTCTTTGCAGGTTCTTAAGATAGTACCTAAAAAATCATAACTCAGAATTTTGATGAAAATTACAACCAAAATGTAATGTTTGTTGATAAGTCATTTTACATACCGTAATGCCAATTTTAAAAAATTATCTCTCTCTTTTTTATTATTTTCGATTTCGTCTTCGTCGATTTTGCTTTGTTTTTCATGTATAACTGCAGCCCTTCTTTCGTCCTCTGTTTGGTTTTTTTTGCTTCTTATTAACCTTGCTGTTTCTTTAGATTTTTCCATGTTCGAAATTTTCTTTTGGAAAATGTCCGATTTCATGTGAAGAACAATCTAAAAAGATGGACAAAAATATCGTATTTTGCCCCAATGTGCGAATTTTCAAGATTTAAAGTGTTAATTTTAAGTGAGTGTCTAGAAAAGTTTATAAAGGAGTATACTATAATTTTTCTAGAACAAATACTTATCTAAAAACTATTTAAATTAAATAATTCTATAGAACGACATAGAGTAACCAACTTTGAATCTGTACGTGAAATGTCAAATTTGTAGGTGTAAATCGAAATGTATCCCTTGAAAATGAACCAACAACAGTTTTACAAAGTGAAAGTAAAGAAAATGTTTTATGGGCACTTCACGATGGAGTCTCCACCCAATATTAAGTTAAATCTAGTTTACTGCCCGCGAAATTAAAAGGTCACTACAATGTTCCTATAAACTTTTCAAATATATGAGAAACTATACAGTGTGTATTAAAACGAATAGATACACTTAAATAAAACAAATGCCAAACCCCGCCCACTGTGGTACGGATTGATATTAGTCCTGAAATGCTGTTTAACATGCTGTTTAACGTGCGCAGAAATTTTTATGATAGGCTAGGGTATTGTTTAACTGCTGCTGGTGGTCTATTTGAACATTTAATTTAGAAAAAAGTTATTTTCGTTATTTTAGAATTATTTTTGTTTCAGAATTTATAGGTTTTATTTTTATCGAATTCGTTTGTTTTATTTTAATGTATTTCTGCAAATAAAAACTAAGTATTGTTTAAAATCCATTAAATTCCAGTTAATGGCGAAAATGTATTTCTTAAAAACTATACACATTTCCCTACGACAGCGTAGGTGCTACTGAACACCGTAGATCAAACTGCATGCCCTTGTATCTGGCTGCATGCCGCGCTGTTGCCATATGCTATTATTGTTTCCTAAAAGGGTTGTTTTTCTTATTTTTTAATATTAAAAGTAAGAAAATTTACTAAATCAAATTATTTTTGACATATTATTAATTTTTTTGTTATTTTTAAAGTTTTAAATAAATAAAATTGAAGTATTTATTAAATAATTATAATCGTTTTCTTCTGATTTAAAACAACCTGGCAACTATGGTTCGTAATTACGAATGACTTGGTTTAAACCACGCCCAATTAAAGTTTGTTTCTTTTTCTCTGATCAGAATATAATTTGTCATCCTTGTCTCCAGCCTTACTTACTTGATTCTATACAGTCTGTATAATACTTTTGTATTTTTGTATTGAGATAATAAAATAATTTTCACATTATATTAATACTATTTTACAAGGCACTTTTTTTAACGATTGTATGACATTTGACAACTGTCAACTAACTTAAAACTAACTTCAGCCAGTGACTAAACACCTGTTGCTAACTTCAGCCCGTGACTAAAACGCCATAAAGCCACAACGTGTCAATGTGTATTTAAAAGGCCACTTGGTGTCATGTAAACATGTACGATAATAAAATGTCGACTTTAACAAACTATATTGCAAAATTCGCACATTACTTCAGAACATCAGAAAAATTGCAAATAACAAGAAAATCATACAATTATGATTTTTTACTTTATCGATAACGAAATATACAAGGTTTCTCTGAAATTCCTGTACAACATATTACTGAGGCCGAAATAATGCGATATTTGTTACTATACCAAAGTTGAAAGTTCGTTTTCGATTTATTAAATACCTTTGGAAAAAACAAACGTTTTTGCACAAAATTTGATATTCGGGGGTTTACAGGACGGGAAAATTAAATTTCTTAAAAAAATGAATGTAGGTTGTAAGGGGCGCTGTCTGCGACACTTTGCGCCTTAAGCCTGGTCTACAATTGTCGCAAGTCGCAGATCGCAGAACATAAGCTTGCGCAAAGCACTCAGCTGACAAAAGAACCTTGCTCCATCGCCACGTCGCGGGGTGCTTTGCGCAAGCTTATGTTCTGCGATCGGACCCCTGCGACAATTGTAGACCCGGCTTTAGTGTATTCCCCTTTTAATAAAAATATTACTTTGTTTAATCATCTACTATTTCTTCTAAAAAATCATGTCAAACATTTTTTGACATTTATTTTAGCATGCAAGCACGTTTGGTTTACCACTTTTAATTTTGAAAAAACCGAAATTTTTTTAAGACAATTTACCACCCCTGAGTTTCTTTTACACTATTTTATTACTAAAACTTACCTGTTGATATTCTCTATCAGCAAAGGATGCCAATTTATCGTACGTATCTACAATATTATCCGATTCCTGCCTTGTACTTTCCGTATCGGTTTTATCGATGATATCCAGCGATTTCAAAAAATAGTCTGCAATAATGGTTTGCCTATTTTCGGAATAGGTCTCTACCATGTATTGCCCTGAGAGCTTCAAAGCTCTAGACCTTATACTGAAATAAACAATGTATAGTATACATTGTATACCTACATAAACCCGCGCTTTATTTAATAAATAAATTGTTCTTACATTGGATTTTCTTCTTCATTTCGCCCCAATTTTCTGAGTATGTGTTTGGCAGCCAGTTTGTCATTTAAAGCCCAACACAACTGAGCCTGAGACAAATCGATTTTGGCTTTTTGAATGTCATTTACTTTCGACATTTGCTGCAAATCCGTTAATATTCTTGATGCCACGCGGTGTTCACTTTCCTCCCTCGCCAAATCTAAAAAATTTCCGGTTTTTCTAGAAGTTCTTTTGTACGCAACTCTTACATTACCTGCAAATTTTAACATCATATCGACCAATATTTCCTTTAGACCCTTGTTTTTAGCGATCTCCAGATAGCTTTTCAATAAAACCACGCGTTGCGCGATAATGGGCTCGATATATCTAAACTCCGAATCTTCACTAATCAAATCCTGCAAACGCCATTTTTGAAGCAGGCCTTCGAAATCCCCGCTGTCGAAGGCCTCGGCAAAATCTAGCGCCTCGACCAAAGACTGCACCTCCGTAAGAATCGGGTACAAATTTTTGCTGCACTCCAAATTCGTTTGCTTGAGTTTTTCCACGAGACAGAGATTTTGCAGGTGCGTCGATTTTTCAAAGTTAAACTTATCGTCGTCGTGCAAGGATTTTAGATAGCGGAACTTGAACTTTTCAAAGTCGTTCACGTCCAGCTTAACCTCTGCATTCGAGGTCGGTTCCTCGAAATTCCAATGACCTAACCTCCAAAGGCACTCGTACTGTTGCTCTTCTATACCGCTCGCGCATAGCAAAGGTACTTCGTATAGAGAGCACATTTTCAAACTATCCATTAGCCTTTTCTTGCAGGAAATGTCACCGCGTCCGACCTGCATTTCGTAGAAGTGGGCCACCTGATCCCACTGATTCGAGTCCTTGTAACTTTCGACGCGGAACTCGGGCTCTAGAATGAACGATATGCCGCAACCGTTCATTGCGTCCAAGTCGCCTATTGCCTTATAAGCCTGTGGTAAAATACATTAAAAATATAAATTGCAAAAGAGACCTAAAGACCGAGATTTAAAACAGACTTACTTTACGAAAAATATTGTGCATTGCCTTAGCCGTTTCCGTATCCAAACTGTCGTAGATCAAATCATGCTTCGTGTAACCAGACGGCAGAGGTTTGTAATGTTTTTTTTCAACCTCCTCCAATTTCGAGTAGCAGTAAAGTTCAGCATACAGCAACGCTGCGAAATGATCATCGCAATATTGCGAAGCTTGTGCTACGTATAAATAGCTGACATCTAACTTGTTAGCTCTGAAAAGTGATATTGTAGAATATATTGTTTGGTACTTGGAAAAGTTCTTCATCAATTCACTCAAAATAGAGCCAAAACGGCGAGAACTTTTCCGATCAGCGCCACAAAACTCACTTGTGGTATTTTGCATAGGATTTCTTCAATCTAACAAAGTCAACAACGTTCAACATACACTTGACGGTTCTTTTATCTCTAATTACATCTTCACTGGAGGATTTGTTCAAAGAACACAACCATTGTTTCTCGAAAAAATGGTTGATTTTTGTGGACAAAATCTTCGCTATCTTGTTGTCATGCAGACATTGGAAAATGAGGTGCGGCAAAAGGTCCTCGCAAATCTCAATCTTCTCATCACAAATCGGTATTAATTTCGGTAGAAAACAATCATCCCTAAACGCTTCCAGTAACGCTCTAACCAATTCAACCACCCAGAGTTCGTGGGTTATATTATTTTTCGGGCACCAAAGTTCATCGGAATTCATCGATGAAATACACCTTTCGTAATTCAGTGCCACAGTGGTGTTCTGGGTTAATTTTTCTGAACCAATATAAGGAACCAAAAAGCGTTTATCAATGGAACCTTTTTTGCTAAAGCTAAAGGAAGCATTTGTCATCGCCATAGCTTCCTTACTATTTAAAACATCATGTAGGGCATTAGAAGCAACTCTGGCGATTCTTATATCACAATCAACAATATATTTTGACAACAGTAAAACTGCTATTCCGCTTATCATTTCGAACGCCCAAAATTTATCATTTTCCAGACTTTGCTCAGGTTGCAATATCAATGTTAGAAGATTAGCTGGCCCTAGCTCTCCAAGACACTTCACAGCCTCTGAGCTTACACTTTTATCGTTTCCCCAAGTCATTTTAACCAATTTTGCAATCAATCTGTGCAGATGGCTTTCAATGCAATCCTCGGAAAAACCGCGTATGTTTTTCAATTCTTTATACATATTTTTCAGCTGAACTTTTTCTTTTATCAAAATTGTTCTCAACTGCTTTAAACTGTCTACTTGGGATGAGTTACACTCATCGTCGTTTGAGTTTAAAAAGAAATCGATTTCTTCTTGCAAGGTCACATTTTTGTTATTGTACTTTAAGTTTTTGATGATTGTGTTGAACTTTTCGAACTCTTCGGTTCGAGGGAATGTATCTAGCTTTGATATGGCATCAGATAAATAGGTGATATTTTTTACTATAAGAAAATTTACGATCTCAAGGCAATCCATTTTAAGAGATTCGTTTGTGATTATTATATTTTTCAGGGAATTCACCACAAAAATAAAAAATTGCTGGAAAATATCACCGTATTTCGGAATTATATCTTTGAAATACTGCAAGCTAAACACCGTCACAACTTTCCTAAATCTTTCACAGCCCCTAGATTTCATAAGATTTATTAAGTAATGTGACGTATCCCTTATAAAATACACCGAAAAATTACTTTTTTCGTTTATACACTTCAATATAAGGCTCAAAACTATGGTGTAATGATGGAAATGTTTTATTTTATCCTGCAAAGTTATGGTGTTGTATATATTCGATTTTAGGCCCAGTAAGATTCTCTCGATTTTTTTGCTTTGTTTTAACAACAAATGGGGTAGTAAGTCATCATATAAATCCAAAAACTCCTGAAAAAAGAAATCGTTGCTGTGTTTAAAATATTAAGCTTTAAGTTTTGTAATATATTTTCTTAGTATTCTTGGTATACTTATTTAGCTTACAAAATCGAAAACAAAAACAGCTGGGTAAAGCACAGGTTAATAAAAACTGCAATTTAACAATATATTTTTACTTACTTTTAAAAACCTCAGGCAATCTAAAAATTGTTCATAGCTCATATATTTGTTGTAAAACAAAACAGACTCGCCAAATTTTTCCGAAATTTTTTTACTATCAGTGACAAACAGCAACAAATTCAAAATAATTTCATCCAAGTTATTTTTCAGAATGTCCATTATTTTGTTTTGGCTCATGTAGTTTGAAAGACGTAACATGTATATGTTTTTTGTGACTTTTTCGGTGGATAAGTTCTCGATTTCTTCGTATATAAGTTTTGTGAAAATTTTTGGAATCGCTTGCTGAAAAAATTATTTTTTAAGTTAATGAAAAAAACGAGCGAAAATCGTTATTTTTATTATATGTGTGTATAAATTTTGGCTTACTATAATAAGATTTTCTTGGGACGTGTTCAATTCGTCAGCTGCTTGTTTCAGGCCCTGTGCATCGTCCTTGATTAAAAACGGAACGCAAATGTGGATATATTTTTTGTAAAATTGAATTTCATTCAAACAATTTAACAATTTGTAAGGGAACTGCCCCAACTTGTTGCCTTGGTTAATCCATTTTTCAATAAGATTTGGGAGATTGCTCTCCAAAAAATTATTTTGCGATTTTGAATTGGTTAACTTTAGACTAACAGTTGTAAGAATTTTATCCACGGATTCTGAAAAATATCTTTTGTTTAAAAATTCAGTAGACCTTGCAAATAAAAATTGCACCGCAAAATATTTTTTATACGTACGTAAGTTTACAACCTGTATAAGTTTCATCAAACATAACAAATATTCTTCTATCCAAAAGGTGCAAGACAACATCAATCTTGCAAACATTAACAAAACAGTCGCATTTATGTTTGCTATATCATCGGGGGAGCCACTTTTTTGAACTTCTTTTTCACTCTAAAAAAATAGTCACGTTACAGTGTCGGTGACGTATATTCATTTATAAATATACGTCTCTTACAACTTCATATATCGTATGGATAACAATTTCTTGTCGATGTATGTCGGAGATATTTTTGTTTTTTGAAGTTACTACGAAAAACAATACCAAAGTTTCTATAGCTTTAAGTCGCACTTCAATGTGCTCATTAGATAGAAAATCCGGCACCAGCGCAATTAATTCTTGGCCTTCCACTTTGGTAAAAGAAGCTGCTGGATCCACCTGAAATTATTTAATTATTTATGTCACCTCATTGGAAAGCTCATTACTAAAAAAATACTTTTTCTATTGTTAACAAACAAAATTGTCATTATTGGAGCAATGAAAATACTCATATCATCAGAGAACATCATCCTGAAGAACTTAATGTCTGGGCAGGAATTTTGGAGATTGTATTATTGCTCGCTTATTTATTGGCCAATATTTGAATGGCCAAATTTATTTTGAAACGTTAGATTTATTGACAGCTATTAATACAACACAGGCATACGCTATGCACGGGTGTTTTACTACGATTTTTTTTGAGTTTTTTCCGAAATTATTGTGTTTTTTTAGGTATAAGCCACGGACGATGGCTTTGCAACGTTTTTCGTAAGTTTTTACTGCATTTATTGAAAAGCAATTACTTTTTACAAGGTATTTATAAGCCACGCACGGATGTTTTATACCAGGTTATAAGTTTGTGTTATATTTGTTGGACTTAATTACTATTTAAAATATGCCGGGCTGTGCTGTAGCAGACAGCAGAAATATGAACGGAAACTCCAACACCCAACCTAACCTAACACTAAATATTTTCGATTTTCAAAAAATAAAGATCTGGCAGCATAGTGGATGAATGCATGCAAGTGAAAGCATAAAATGAAAATAAAAACGTTAAGTAAAGGCAATTTTTGGTATACCCAATTTGCTGTTAGGTACTTATAGTAACTTTTCACCATAACCACATATTTTTTTTAACAGCTTGCATAAGTTCTTACTAATAATAAAAATGTAAACACAATTGGCTCGGAAACCCGCTTCAAAAGTCACAAGTAAAAAAAGCGGTTTTGAGATTTTGTTTACTTTTGAGACTTTAAAGCGGGCGTGCGTTATTATTACGTGTATAAATGCATTTTTATAATTTTGTTTAAAAAAAATGTAAAATTCGGTCTAGCGTATGTTAAGTTAATTCAATTAAATAAAATATATAGTTATTGTATTAAAAGTATTAAAACTTTGCGACAAACTCGCTAGATATATATATTAATTAATATTCTGCAAGCATTTCTCTTATCACCGCTTTTGTTTAATTTCGTTCAGGATCTCATGCCAGCATCGACAGACGCGTTTCGTTCTGTGGAACTCATCAGTGCCGAGTTGCTATAGGCTTGAGAGCCAAACGAAAAATCCTTGCCTGCACAATGGTGCCATCTATTACCTAGCCGGGAGGGCAAATACATCTTTCAGGTCATAGATGGCGTAAAGCACGCTATATGTCCCGTACAGATAATGTCATGACATATAAAAGACCGCGTTGAAAAACGATAGATGGCACCATTGTGCAGGCAAATTCTCTTCTCACCGCTTTTGAACTATTCCTTTCCTATATAAGGAAAGGAATTAAAGTTTTCGTTTGGGTCTCAAGCCTATAGCAACTCGGCACTGATGAGTTCCACAGAACGAAACGCGTCTGTCGATGCTGGCATGAGATCCTGAACGAAATTAAACAAAAGCGGTGATAAGAGAAATGCTTGCAGAATATTAATAAATAAAATATATTTTGAAAAGTAATAATAGGAAGGTAGGAAATTAATTTTTGCATAAAATATGTTACATTGGTATTAAAAGCACTTGCTGCCAATTTAAGTTTCTCCTTAACATTTGTTACACTTAATAATTGCACCCAGGCCGTCCCTATATTTATAAATTTTCGAATATAACGTGAATTTGCACTGCAAATAACATTCCAACCCAGTAACCCGCTATAGCGGGTTGGAATGCTATTCCCTGTATAAATAAGTACCCAACAAATCGATTTTTTGATAAGGGAAGATTTCTAAGTTGTATAATCTGTGGATTTCTAATTCTTACCTTATATAAACTTTCAATACAGTCCAATATAGCATAGGAAACTTTTGGGCCATACTTATCTTTGTTATCATTAAAAGTCGACATTATTCCAATACCCTTCTCCTGAATTTCTCTGTTTAAATGCGCCATGTGAGGGTAAAAATCTAAAAACAATCATAATATATTATTAAATTTAAAAATTATCAATTGTTTAATAAAATACTTACATTTTAATACATCTAATACAGAAACTACATAATCATATATACGATACTTTTTTTCGCATAGTTTTTGTATATGGTCGACAATATTCTTAGCAATTGCATTTGTCAATAAACCTGGGGTGGCATATTTTAAATGCTTTAAAACGACGAGAACCTAAAACATTTTGGTAAGGTAGAATACTAAAATAAATATTTTGTAGAGTAAAGGTTCCATAAACGTAAACAATTTTAATTTTTTGTTGCTTACGCAGTTTAAGGAATTTTACCAAATGAAAATTTACAATTTTACAGCCATCTTCATCAACAAAATCGATATTGTCACAATCGCAAAGAGCATCCAGGACAAACGTTTGATTTTCAAGAATTTCATCTTGACTTGATACAAAACTGTACAAAGACAATGTTTTCATCAGAGATTCCTTGATTTTAAACAATTGTGGAGAAGCGTTGCCATTCGATTTTTCTAAAAGTTAAAAATTGTCATTCGATGAGTTCACAACGCGCTCATTTGAACGTCAATATTACGGCCAATATTTTATTTTATAATAATTTTGATTCTGGTCATAATTTTTAATGTTCACAAACACAAATGGTATCTCGGAATACATACCTTCCTGAATAAAATGATTCCAATCAAAGATAACTTTCAACAAAGATTCTGAAACCAGCTTTCTGATTAGAAGGGAAACATCTGTGTTCTTCTTGGGCGAAAATATCCTGTACAGAATATTCATATGGGAAACCATGTTCTTTAGAAGGGCATTTTTGTTTGCCAAAGAAAAAAAATCTTCCAATTTCTCCATGTTAGTTTGGAGCAATTCCACCAAAGTGGGACAGTCTTCTCGTATTTTGTTATCCAAGATGAAATCAATTAAGTTGACTAAAAATTCTGTGACATGTAGAGTACTTTCTACATCTTTTGGTGCGCAGTTTTTTTGTAAAATTATCATCAACTTATACAGCGCTTCCTTATCTATAACTCTATTCTCAACACAATGTTTCTCATCTGTTATTTCTTTAGTATCATCCATATTTAAATTTATTTTATAGTAAACATCTGTGATATCACAGTTACTATTTTCCTCTATTGAATCCTCCAAATAAATTTCATGGGGCCATTGCTTGAACAGCAAGCAACCAAATATAAAAACGCTTTCTTTACAACACAAGAACTTTGTTGAATACAAATTAAACAACCAATTTATAATGGACTCCTGCTTTGTTGTATCAGATCTAGGAAAACTTATTTGTGGCAGTAATGCAAATAATGTTTTAAGTCCATTTTCGCTGGTGTACTTTGAAATCAAAAAATTTTGCAGCAGTTTTTCTGCATCAACAATATTTTTCCTTAAAACTAATCTTCTTACGAGTATTTGAGTATTGTCAATGTTATTCATAGATCTAAAATAATAATGTTATAATTTATTTAGTTATTCACTTTAGTATTCCTTACAATAATGCATATTTTGAGATTTCTTTCCACTGCTTTAAAACGGTTTTTTTATTTCCAACATTGATTTTATTTTCAATTTCTTCCAATATAATCAAACATTGGTAAGCATGATATTTTAAATTTATTTCCTGACTTTCTATTATTATAGATGATAAAATGTTTAGAAAATTGTCAATACCATCTAAATCTATTAAGGATGGATATTTTTTCAGGGTGAAGCTTAACAAATTTATCCTTAAATAAAAAAAACTCTACTCATTGAAATTCTGATATTTTGCGTTTCAGTCTACTCACCAAGGCCACTCCCTATTTGTTTTTATATTGTGAATGATACTTATAACACTTATTTCATCAATTTTGGCTTTTTTTTGAGCTGGCATTTGACTTACAGTGGTCATAGATAAACTCATATTTAAATCATTTGTACCATTCAACTAAAATCAGTAAAAATGTGGAGCAAAAACCTTTAACAAAAATATTAATATTACCTGATCCAGCAACTCAGCAAAGAGCATTTTAAACTTATCCAATATATTTACAATATCTTTATTAGACGGTATAAAGTAAGATGTGTTCTTATAACTAAGGTGTAAGTAAAATTCGACCTCTTTAATTAATATTGAGTACATTTTGATCATGTAATTTTTCCATGCAGAGGAGGAAATGGCCATGTTGCCACTTTCTCCATTCGGATGATGCAGAGTCATTTGTAACAGAAAATAATCCAATAATTTTACCTAAAAATATTGTTTATAACAATATAAATTATCGTTTTTCCTCTATTAATTTATATTGCTGTGACATTTCTATATGCAGTGTTATTTAAAATCTTAAAATGAGTTGTGAAAACGAATTATTTTGTTCTGTGAAACAAATGAAGTTCACTACAAAGAAAATTTTTTATGTTTTTGACATTCTAAGTTGTAAATAAGTTTTCAAAACACATATACTTAAATATGGTTAATGTGGTTTTGACATTTTGATATAAGTCTTGAGTTCTTTTCAGAATACATTCTTAAGTATGGTTTTGACACCATAAAATGTGGTTTGACATTCTAAAATGTGTTTTGGCGTTCTAAATTGCAAATAAGTAAGTTTGTTTTTAAATATGGTAACGCAGAATCAAGTGGGCGGAAAAAAATCACAAATTCAATAAAATATAGAAAAATGAGTATGTTTACATGTGAAACTTAGTGTTTCAAAATTATAGGGGATAAGAAAGTTATAATGATTTTTGGTTTTGACAGTTTTCAGTTTTTTCAAATTATTTGAGAACCGCTAATTTTTTTTTATTTCCATTTTAATGGAGTTGTTATTACGCAACTTTTATCTAATTTAACTGACCTTGTAGCTCTTCAAGTAAAAAAAATAATTTTCACTATTATAACACCCTGAATACTGTTTTTTTAAATTCTAGATTGTATTATTTTTAATAAATATTAAACCTTGTGTGTTTACTTTAACGCGTTAGTATTAATTAAGTCCCCTATAATGAAACCTTACCTTAAGTTCTTCTTCCCTTCCATTACACTCATAAAGCTCAAACAAATTCAAAAAAGTACAATCCCCCAACTCACAACAAGTTATTCTGCGATCTTTAGCAATCTAAAAAACTGAAAATTAAAAACAAACAACATAAAAAACAACAAAAATACATTAAAACAAAAATCTGTGACAATCTCGACGATATCCTGCTGTATAACTTTGTGATGAGATTTCTTGACATTTTCCACCAAATTATTGATAAATACCACCTCATCTCTGTAACTTTGAGGGGAATAACCACATGATGGAGCAAATTTAAACAACAACATCAAACATTTTATGTAATGCTTTTTTAAATCTGAAGTTACATTGGCTTTGGCGTAGAATGATTTCAACAAATCAAACAAATCTAAAAAAGTACCCACATCAACACCATGCTACCTATATATATTAAAAAACTTACTTTCCCAGTGATCTACATCCAATTCAGATCTGTTACTTTCCGGCAATAACACAAAATCTTTTAGGGCGGTTAATAGTGAAACTTCAAAGCATTTTTTCATTTTTACATTCCTTAGGCATGAAATGATGTGTTCAGTTATATCCTGAATATTAAGGACATCTTCTGGAAATGTTTTATTTCTGATGTGAAATTTGACCTATTTTTTTAATAAAAAAGCCAGCAAAGAAGTCAATATTATTTGCTGACCAAGACCAAGAAATCTATTTTATTGACAATGTTAACCATACTTACTTTCTTGAAGGCCATATCTTAATACGGCCAGATACAGATCGGATGATATGTAACAAGAACACAGATCAGTGCCTTTTTTTTTCATATCATCGAATAGTTTGTCAGCATCCTAAATGGATTATTAGTTAAAGAAAAAACAGTTTACATACCCAAATAATGGTTACCTTTAATAAGCAGTGTTGCACCCCTGTAAGGAGCCTATTCCAACCCCCATTATTCAGCTGCTGGATAATCTCAGGGTCGTTTATGTTGCCGAAAAGATATTCGCAGGCTTTTTTTCTGTCTGTGACTCTTCTTGATTCCAATAGGAAGATTTGTTCCTCTAGTTGTTGGCTCATTTTAAAACCACAACACGCACATAACTATATAACAATGTTTATTTTAAGGGAGATTTAACAAACAAATTTGAACGAAACACAAAGTAAACATTAAAAAAACATTCCTGAATAGAAAAGAGCATATAACAAAAGAGCGGCTAATTTAAACGTCATTTAGGTAGTTCAAATTGTATACACTGAGTTTCATAGAAATCACTTATTTTTATTATTATTCGGTCAACAAATAAAACTACATTATTATACGGTAAAAGATGTTCATAATAATCTCGGGGTTAAACACACCTCTTTCTGTGGTTAATTATATGCATATATGATCTGAAACTTCACCATCAGTGTTAGGCAACATATTTACACCGAGTAGTTCAAATGTCCTACACTGAGTTGCACAAAAACCACGAATTTTAGTCACAGAACATAAGAGAATTAAAAGCGCTATAGTCAAAAGTGGCAACAAGCATTGGTTGATTTTTAAATCTAGCAGGCTTGGAAAACCGAGTTGTTTTTTTGCGGGAAATTTGAATGTTTGGCTATTTGAATTTTTATTTAAAACAAGGAAATATAACCGAAAATTGTTTAAATTTTATATTTTTTTGATTTTAAAAGGATTATATACGTAATATTGTCCATTAAAAATCAAAAAATATAAAATTTCGACAATTTTCGGTTATTTTCCACTAATTAAGTGGAAAAACACACATTTTTGTTTTTTTAATAAATATATTTAACAAAATATACACTTAATTCAATTTTAAATTAAAGTATAACTAACAAATAATATTTAAATGAGGAGAAATTAACTTGGTGAAATTTAAAAAAAGGTTTATCAAACTTGTATAATAATTTATAATTATTTAGGTATAATTTATCAAAAAGTATGACACTAAATTGATAATTACCCTCTTATATATGCCTACAAGACAATTATCGCTTGATTACAGCGATAATTTTCAGAAATTTTAATTTTGTGTCACATAATAACAATTTTTGTAGGTTTTTTAAGATTAAGATTAGAATAAAAATGCAAAGGTTTATTAAACAAATTAACTCTAAAACATATTACAAACCATCAAAATATTTGATAAATTCTTGATAAACAATAGTTCAATACTTATTGGTCCTTATATATAATATTAGAAAACAACCTTTTAAAAATCAGTTCAAGTATATTATATAATTAAAATTATTTTAACTTTGAATATGTAATTCATAAATAATTTTGTAATACATACTGACTTATTGAATACCCTATAGTTATTTTCAGATTTCTTAATGTGGTATTAAATTTCTTTATTGGAATAAACCAAAAGGCTAATGCCTAAAATATAATATATAATTTTTAGGAATTATGATTATAATTTGTTTTTTAAATAAGCACAATACTGTAGTTTTGTAAAATATAGAATTTTTGGCAAAAAGGAATTCCTACTTATCCAAAAATTAAATTACATTCTTTGGAATATTTAATTTTTAGTAAAATTGGTTTAATTAAAATTAATAATCAATAGAACCACTTAAATCTCAATGTTAAAAATATTGTTATTATGTATTTGGCAAAATTAAAATCTTTATGTATGATTTAACTTTCTGGTCAATATTAAGTATTAATTGTCTTTTTTCTTGTTCATGATTCATGGATTGAACCTGCGCCTTTTTCTTGATTCAATGAAGAATATTCAACTGCAATTAATATTTTCTATGTTCTTTTGCAAAGAAGTTTGATAAATTCAAGTCCTGTCTGCTTTTTCCATTAACACAAACCCAAACCTGAAATCAATACCAATTTTAAAATCAATTTAAATTGTAAAACAATTGATATTACCTAATAATGTTTAAAATTAAATAAAAATAATGTATCAATATTTATGCTACTTATTTATGCTAAAGGTAATTGTTTTACCAGCATAAAAATAATTGAATGGTTTATTGTAAAAACAAGCTAAGTAACTAACTAAATATGATTTTGTTTATTTTTTAATTTAAAAATCTTATAAAAACTAATAATGGTTAACTTGTGCTGTTTTAACATGAAAATATCCTTTTTTAATATCCTAATAAAAATCCTAAATAAAATATTTCTGCCTCAAAATAATAATTTAAAGCAGAAGTGTATGTAATATAAAAATGTCAGATTGCTTGTTTTAACAATAAACAATTAAATTATATTTGGAGTAAATACTAAAAGTGTACTTTCTTTAATGGTCAGGCTTTTACTTTTTTTATATTTGGATTGTAACTATGGATGTGTGAATATTGAATTCAAGAATTATTTGAATAGTTTGAATGTTTCAAATTTTTAAATGGTTCAATTAGAAAATTAAAATTTTCCAATAGTAATTGAAGAAATGGAACATTGGAATTGTAATTTAAAATTTATTTTGAAATAAAAAAAATGTTATTTACTTGTCATTAACCCTTAATTAACTTATTTGAATAGATTATGATTGTAATTATTGAACTATTCAAATAATTCAAACTATTTATGTAGTTTAAATATTTAATTTTAAGTTTGAATTAAATATTACTACTTAATTTATTTGGTAAAAATATTCACACACCACCAATTGTAACTAAAAATGTATTCTAAATAAAAAAAAATATATCTACCTATTATTAAAAAAATTTGGTCAAATATTTCTGTTTGGGATTGACGAGTAAAGCTTTCATTCTTTTTCTTCATGCAGGATAAATCTTGTCTAATTCTTCCATTATTGCAGAAGCTAAAATTAATTATATTAAATTAAAATCAATTTATATTGTAGCAAAAAATAATTGAATTAAAAACTTTAAAAATAATTCTTTAAAAGGTTTGCTTAATAATTGTCTAGTTATTTATGTACATTAAAAATGTCAGACTTTCAGATAGAACAAATGAAGGGGTCAATGCAAGAATTCTTGCACTTAAGTGCCTAAGTCGCATTTTCAATTAAATTTACATTGTAGCTTCATCTAAGAGTGTTTCATGTAAGGTTTCATGTGGTATTTTCAAAGTGGCAGAAATATGTGCCCAAGTGCCTTAGTTTGCATTTACTTCAATGGGAGTTTGCCTGGTTTTCAACTTATGTGAAAACTCTTGGATGAAGCCACAATATCAATTTAATTGAAAATGTGACTATAAAAATACTGTAAAAGATTATCACCCTGTAGTTCAAAATGCTATATTTATGTAAAAAAAACATGGAAAGCACAAAACATTTGTAATATAATCAAGTTTTGAACTGTATACTTACAAGTGTTTAATATGACCTCTTCCAGCTGCAAACATCTTGTAGATACTCAGCAGTTCCAATTCGTGTAGGTATTTAGCTTGTACAAATCTTGGGGCTCATAAACGTTATCTTTTATAAAGCCCCAGAGAAAGAAGTCGCACACTGTGATATCGGTTCAACGTGTTAACCATACATGAAGTGCCAAATTGTTGGGCCCTTTACGTCCGATCCACCGATGAGGGGGCTGTTCGTTCAATAACCTCCGCTCCACCAAATGCCAATGTAGTGGGGCCCTGGACCCAGGTTCAGTTTTCGCGTAGCTACATCAAATAATTTTAACAAAAACATACATTTTGACAAAGATTTTAGGTATATTTAACATTTTGTATAACAGCAACTAGTGTCGAGAAAAAAAAACGTTAAAAACTGTTTTGATTGAAAGTTTTGAATCAAAACGCTTTAAAACTATTTAAATTCTATCAAAACTTGCATTAGTTAAACACCCATAAGCAAAGAGTAAGAGTCTTTACTCTTTGCCATAGGTTTCATTACATAAAAAGAATTTTATTAACTACATGTGTTTTCGGTAAACATAGAGAAAAAAACCGATACGGATTATCACACGTATTTTCTTATTTTAAACTCGGTAATGATGCTACAACTAACTCAAACTTGACTAAAAACACCTAATAAAATGTTAAAGCCGAAATTAACAAGTTTACTTACCTAAAACAAAGAAAATTTGGATTATAAAACTTCGTACACACCACTTCAACAACGCTGTCGGCCATTTGTAATTTCTCAAACCGAACATCAACGAACAAGTTGGAAAAGACCAATCACAACAAAGTAAGAATCACGTGGTTAATAACTGGGGTTTGTCAAAAACAACTTGGGTTTCAACGCATGCTAGATTTATTTTACTGTTGCCTGTTGTCAAATTCCCCTTATACCCCCCTGATTTTAGTATTTCGCGTTTCCGAGGCAACTTCATGTGTTATTTTTTCATTTGCGTCATAGAAAAATAAAATCAAATTTTAGTTCGCCATTAATTTGTCAAAAACTTTAAATTTAACGTAATTATGAGTAAAACAGCTGTGGGAAGCAGTAAAACAGCTGTGGGAAGTAGCAAGACAGCAGTGGGAAGTATTAAGGATAAAGATAAGGATAAAGGTGATAAGGAAAAGGAAAAAAGGGGGATTGTTGATATTTACGATGAGGAATTTTTTCTTAACCTAAAATTGGCCAAAAATCTTATCAATGAAATGAACTCTGACACAGGTAAAATAAATTGTCTTGATATTTTGGGGGATACAAAAAGACATTAATTCTTAATCTAAACTCTTTATTACTAACTTATAATACAAAATAAATGTAATATAACAACATAAAATATTAAAAAACATTTTAACAAACGTTGTTTGTATAACTGAATAGGGTATCAACAGAGCTCTACAAAAATAGACTAAATCTATTAAAGAGAACTAAAATATCTAAAAAAAAACGCGCCTATAAAATGCCTTGGTATCCAATTTTCCCATTATAAAAATAAGGATTATTAAAGAGCATTATAAAATTTCGTCATACTATATATAAAAAACCTATGTACACGATTGTTTGCAGACAAGGGGATTTGTCGAAAGTGGTTGGCCCGACTGTGCCACATGAAGTCTTCAGACCCTTTGGTGAAGAAAAACAGAAACGAGTTTTTTATGTATTTGTTGCAAATGATGAAACTGTATCTGGACAGGCAGAAGACCTTACCTGGTGAAAAGAGCGAAGACGGCGGTGGCAAAGGGGTAAATGATTCTTATCTGGAAAAAAATTAAACTAAATTTATGCAAATACAATTGACAAAATAATTATTAAAATATATATAAATGTATGTTTATTAAACCTCCCTTATTGGAAAAATTTCTATTCTATCTGGTGGTCCATATTTTAAGCAGTTTTGAAATCTACAAAATTTATTTAAGTATTTTATAGTTTTTTTGTTATAACTCGTTTGAAAACGCAACTATTTACAATCTTATGTGCGTTTTTAAACTTAAATGCCAAATAACTAAAAACTACAGAAATGTGTTTTTGGAATTCTAAATTGTAAATAGGTTTTGAGTTCTTAAGTTTTCAAAGCACATACTTAAATAAGGTTTTGACTATTTTTAATATGTTTTAAGATTCTTTAATTTGGTTTTGACATTCCTAAATGTGTTTTTGACATTCTAAATTGCAAATAGATCTTAAATTATTTTCAAACCACAATTTTAAGTATGGTTTTACATTCTAAAATGTGTTTTAACATTATAAAATGTGTGTTTGACATTCTAAATTGCAAATAATTGTTGAGCTGAGTAAATCAGTCTTGAGTTATTAAGTTTTCAAAATACATTGGTTTTGACAATTTTAAATGTTTTAAGAATCTTGACATTCTAAATTGCAAGTATTGTTTTGAAATGATAAAATAAATTTAAGTATGGTTTTGACAATTTTAAATATGTTTTAAGATTCTTTAAAGTGGTTTTGACCTTCTAAAATGTGTTTTTGACATTCTAAATTACAAATAATTGTTGAGCTATTAAGTTTTTAAAATACATTCTTAAGTATGGTTTTTTTTAAATTATAAAATAAGTTTTTGACATTCTAAATTGCAAATAAGTCTTGAGCTATTATGTTTTCAAAATGGTTTTGAACATATTTTAAGAATCTTGACATTCTAAATTGCAAATAAGTCATAAGTTCTTTTCAAAATACATTCTTAAGTATTGTTTTAAAAGTATAAAATAAGTTTAATTATAGTTATGACAATTTTAAATATGTTTTAAGATTCTTTAATGTGTTTTGAAATTCTAAATTGCAAATAGGTGAGTCTTAAGCTCTTTTCAAAATATATTCTTAAGTATGGTTTTAACATTCTAAAATTACCTTTAAGTAAGACAGTTTTAAATAAATTTTAACAGGTACTTTAATACTATCATGTATTTGACACTCTAAATTATAGTCTTAACAACATCCATTCTTAATTATGGTTTTGATAATTTTAATTTTTTTTAAGATTCTTTAATGTGGCATAACATCATAAAAAAAATTTTTTAAGATTCTTTAATGTGTCATAACATCATAAAATGTGTTTTTGACATTCTAAAATGTGTTTTTGACATTATAAATTGCAAAAAGTAAGTCTCAAGTTCTTTTCAAAATATATGGTTTGACATTCGAAAATAACCTTTAATAAGTAAGGGCCGGTTTATCAATGTCCGGTTAAAGTTGCAGTTAGTTATCTGGCAGATAATCTCCATGGATACCATTGTTCTCACAGCGATCGATATGGAATTTAACTGTCAGATAGACTAACTGGAACTAAACCAGAGATTGATAAACCAGCCCTGAGACAGTTTGAAATCAATTTTGACAGGTAATTTAATAATATTATGTATTTGACATTCTAAATTGCAGTCTTAAGTTTTCAAAATACATTCTTAGATACGGTTACAATTTTTTTAAATGCATTTATCTATTTTGCGTTCATAATGACTTCATTATAACACCGCTCTCGGTGCTGTAATAAGATATTTTATCCCACCCAAAATTTTGATTTTATAGGTTGGCTATACTTAATATTTTGCATATTGGTTATAATATTTTTATAATTTTTCTAGCACTTACGAGACTTTTCTGGCAATAATTTTTGTTTAACACCAAAGAAAATCCTTTTTTTGTTCTTTAACATTAACAGCCGCTTATTGTAAAGAAGTAAATTAAGGACGGCATGGCGAATCAATTTTGACATTAACTATCTAAAGTATAATTCGACCAAATTAAATTTAAGATATAAAATTAATTTTTTTTATAGAATTTTTGCAAAATAGATAAAATAGCATAAAGAACTCATGTCATAAGACTCGTCCATTACATATGACAAAATGACGTCTTATGACATTAGTTCTTTAATATACTATTATGACAACTTTAAATATGTTTTAACATTCTTAAGTAAGTTTTAATGTTTTACTTTCTAAATTGTTCTTAATTGTATTTAATCCGTTCTTAGATATGATTTAGACTATCTAGAATGTCATTTTTACATTCTTGACAAAATTTTGTTTCTAGAATTTGCTTTGACAATACTAAATATGTTTTTAACATTTTGCTAAGATGAGTTTTACCTTTTTAAATTGGTTCTTGAACCTAATGCTATATTTTTTTTAAAGGTTTAAGTCTTTAATATATTTTTATCGATTTCTAGTGTGGATGTAAAAAAGACTACATGTGCAAATGGTCCCCGGACAAACGCACATACATCGCAATGAAACCTCTACCGGGAAAAGGAGCCCTAATCTACATGGCCGTAGCCAGAGAGCCCGAACTGGGTTGGGAACATCAATAAATAAATAGTACGGTGTATCGAAAAAAAAAAAATAAAGTCCTACTCACCAACTAAACTTAACTATTTTCTTTATACAATCTTTCTAACGACGCTTTCTTCCGTTAGTTTTACCCGTTTTGCCTTTCCTTTGCCCCTTCCCGCTTTTAGGTTTCGGGTTCGATCGTTTTTTGCCGCCTCGGCCCGCTTTCGGCCTCTCGTTTTTCTTCTCTTCGGATCTCCTTGAAAAAAAAAAAAACAAACGCGTAAAGACGGCAAATTAATCGACGAAATCGACTCACTCCACTTGTTCCTGGTTGATTTGCCGGGCCACCGCCTTTTCGATGTCGATCTTGGGCTTCTTGTTCAGCACGCTCTCGACGATGTTCAGATTTTCGCTGCGCTCCTGCGTGCCGGAAACGGGCGGCAACTTCCGCTTTCTCGAGGCGCCCGGCGTGATGGCGGCCACGCCCCTCGCTTCTTTCTCCTGCGGCAACTTGTCCTGGAACTTGCCCAGACTTGCCGTCGACGCTTTGGCTACCGTAACAGCCGCTTGCAACTAATTTAATGGAGACATTAGGTAACAAATTGTGTATTTATTCTTTAAGTTTTAAGATGGTTTTGGGACATTTAAAATAGTTTTAGGGCATTATTAGACAATTCTAGAAATTGTTTGTTATTGACACGATTTTAGATAAAATTTTAAATAAAAGTTTTGAAAAATTTTTGACAGTTTGACTTTAAAAGAAAATATATATTGAGACCATTTTAGAGAAAAGTTAAGATTTAGGCGAGGATTTAGGTTATTAAGTCATTTTACATTTTCAATGCGTTTTTGTTTGAAAATGACTATTGTAGAGAAAATTAGGATTTAGGAAATTTTAAGACGCTTTTAAACAATTAAAGCAGCTTTAAGACATTTTGGGCAGTTTCAAGGCTTTTTTTAAAGGCATCCGTATAAAATGCATTTCGGGTATTAGACATTTTTAGTTTTGAAACAAAAATAAAGTTTGGGATATTTTAAGACGTTTTTAGATAGTTTTAAAGACAGTTTTAAGGTGTGTTTAAATTTATTTTAGACCGAACATTTTAGAAAAAAAATAATTTAGGAAATTATAAGATGTTTCTTAACAGTTTTAAGGCAGTTCTAGGACATTTTAGACGGTTTCAAGGCGTGTTTAAAGGCATTATACTAAAATGATTTTAGAAAGTTTTAGACATTTATTATTATTGAGACCATTAACAATAAAATTTTGGTTATTTTAAGACGCTTTTAGAGAGTTTAAAACTTAGTTTCAAGGTGTGTTTTTAGACGGACCATTTGAGAAAAAATTAAGATTTAGGTGATTTGAATGGTTTTAAGTGAGAGATTCTAGACAGCTTCAAAGCAAATTTGTGACATTACAGACAGTTTTAAAAATAAAATTATAACATGCTTTTAGACAGTTCTAAGACATTTTAGATTGTTTAGAGGCGGTTTTAAAGGCATTTTAGACAGTTTTGATATTTTTTGGCTATTGCGACTATTTTATAGAAAAATTAGGATTTAGGAAATTTTTAGACAGTTAAGGCAATTCTGAGACATTTTATACAGTTTAAAGGCATTTGTCTAAAATGCATTTTAGACTATTTAAGAACATTTTTGTTATTTTAGAAAAAAAAATATTTTAAGACGTTTTTGAAAGTTTAAAGAGACATTTTTGACAGTTTTAATGCCTGTCTATGGATATTTTAAACAGTTTTAGAAATTTGGGGAAAAATTAAGATTTGGGATATTTTAACGTTTTTAGACAGTTTTGTGACATTCTAGACAGTTTAAAGGCGTTTTAAAGGCATTTTAGACTACTAAGTTTTAGAAATTTTTGAAAGTAAAGGCAGTTTTGAGACATTTTATACAGTTTCAAGGCACGTCTATAGATATTTAAGACAGTTTTAGAAGTTTGGTACAAAAATTAAGATTTTGGATATTTTTAGACGTTTTTATACAGTTTTAAGGCAGTTGACATTCTAGACAGTTTAAAGGCGTTTTCGACAATTGTTATTAATAATTATTAATTTAGAAAATTATAAGATGATTTTAGACAGTTCTAAGGCATTTTAAATACTTTTTTTTTAAAGGCATTTTACTAAAATTATTTTATATAGTTGTAGGAAATTATTTTTATTGAGACCATTTTGGGAAAAAATTAAATTTCGGTTATTTTAAGATTTTTAGACAGTTTTAAGGCTGTTTCAAGGCGGGTTTAAAGGCATTTTAGAAAGTTTTGGTTTTTTTTTTGCTTTTGAGACTATTTATTAAATTAGGATTTAGGAAATTTTTAGACAGTTAAGGCAGTTTTGAGACCGTTTTAGAAAATTTTCGTTATTTTAGAAAAAAAATTATTTTAATACGTTTTTAGAAAGTTTAAAATGCAGTTTTGAGACATTTTTAACAGTTTCAAGGCGTGCCTATAAATATTTTAGACAATTTTAGAAATTTGGAAGAAAAATTAAGATTTAGGATATTTTAGGACGTTTTAGACAGTTTTAAGGCAGTTTTGTGAAATTCTGGACAGTTTAAAGGCATTTTTGAAGGCATATTTGACAATTGTTTTTATTGATTATTAATTTAAAGAAAAAATAGGATTTAGAAAATTATAAGATGCTTTTCTAAGACATTTTAGAAGGTTTAAAGGCATTTTACTAAAATTATTTTGGACATTTTTAGAAATTTATCATTGAGACCATTTTGAAAAAAGATTAGGTTATTTTAAGACGTTTTTAGACATTCTAGACAGTTTAAAGGCGTTTTAAAGGTATTTTAGACAGTTTTAGGACATTTGAGACAGTTATACATTACTTACATTAACATTTTTATACAGCTCTGGAACTGGGAGATAAAAAAAGTAAAACTGGGAGATAAAAAACTGGGAGATAAAAAAAGTAAAACTCACGTCTTTAGCTGAAGAAACATCAGGATTCGTCAGGCCAAAACGCGGAACCTTAACATTCTTAGCTTTGGCAATATTCCTTAACCTCTGCAACTCATTCTTTGCAACTTTCTCTCCTTTAGCCTGTGCTTTTTTGGCAAATTGATCTTCCATAGGATCCGCATTGCCAGGCACCTCAATCAACCAATCTTTGTCTTTCTGAGCCTGAGCGCGTTTAAAACCATACAAGGGCACCCATTTTTTTAATTGCTCGTCCCACGATAGTTTGTCTTTTTTCTTCTTTTCGATACCTTTTTCTTTGGCGAATTGTTGCCATTTAGTCAGAGGCCTAGGTTTGGGTACGGGTTTACACCTGGGCAACACTGTTTTCGGTGGCGGCAATTTTACAACAATAGCTTCATCTACTCGTTCAGTAGGCAACTCCCATATTCTATTTAACAACAACTGCACATTATCTCTAGCTAAATCGAGTAAGTAATCATTCGTATTGCTCCTACAAAGAAAAAAATATTAAATTAAAACCTCATTGACTTTTACCCACGCGCTATCTCACCTCAGCAGTTTCTCATCAAAATCGTTAGTATCCACTGCCAATAAAGTCCCTAAATCGTATTCTAAGTCTATATGCTTGTTAACCGTGATAGACTTGTAATTTTGCGCCTCTAAGGCCGAATTCATCAAAACCTTACTTACAACGTCCATGTTGTTTTCAGATGAATCCACAACACTAACCTTACTTTTCTGGTGACCCCACGTGTAAGTTACCGTTTGGTAACCAAACGAAAGTCCCTATATTTTGCGCGACGTTGCCACGATGTGATGTATGTTCCAGTTTAAAGGGATTTTGATAACCGTTTTGCTGTAATATTCTTAAATATTGTTTTTTGTTTGCTCTGCCTATTTATTCAATAACAAAATATTTGTTACAGATAACCCAAAATTTAAAAACAGTTTTAGGAATGTTTTGACAATGGAGAACACTTGAAACATTTAAAAGGCATTTACAGCACATTTAAAGACGAATTGTAAAATACCTATTTAAAGTTTTAAAATAGTTTTAAGACGATTTAAACATTTTAAGGATATTTTATAGTTTATGAATTAATAATTCAGAATTATCAGGGAACTTTTTAGAGTTTCAGAAGTTTTGCCGCATAATTTAATTTATATACCGGTAGGTAAGTATCGTAATATCCGCAAATTGTGGTCCAAAATAACATTGTATTTGGGTCAGAATTTCTCAAACGGGCCACCTGAATTAGGTCAAAATTAGTTTTTGATTGTAGATACATTTTTTCGATAGTATTTTACATCACTAACACAAATCCTAAAGGATTTTGTAAAAAAAAAATTTTCAATTGACATATTCATGATATTAAAAGTAAAAGTTTTTAGTAATTAAAAAATAAAAAAAAATCATTATGGCTAAACTAATTATCCGATTCCAACGATTTAACTAGCGTTGGAATCTTGTTTTGACATAGATTCTTTGTTATTTTTTTCAATTGTAAAATTTTCATTTAGGTCGATTTTTTTTTGTTTTTTTTATAACAAATTCGGAAATAATTGGCTTCTGCGCCAGCTATCGACTCGAAAAAAAAAACACATATACTCCAATCATTTTTCGAAATTATGCTGCTGAGAAAAAAAATGGCCCGCAGGTTCCAGACCACCGTAAGACGTCGCGTCACAAGCGCGTACAGCGTACACGGTTCGGAGCGTGAGCTGACACCGCGCGCGGCCACAAAAGGACGAATAACTTTTTGTCAACCTGCGGGCCATTTTTTTTCTCAGCAGCATAATTTCGAAAAATGATTGGAGTATATGTGTTTTTTTTCTCGAGTCGATAGCTGGCGCAGAAGGCAATTATTTTCGAATTTGGTATAAAAAAAACAAAAAAAAATCGACCTAAATGAAAATAGGACAATTGAAAAAAATAACAAAGAATCTATGTCAAAACAAGATTCCAACGCTAGTTATATCGTTGGAATCGGATAATTAGTTCAGCCATAATGAATTTTTTTATTTTTTAATTATTAAAAACTTTGACTTTTAATATCATGAATATGTCAATTGAAAATTTTTTTTTTACAAAATCCTTTAGGATTTGTGTTAGTGATGTAAAATACTATCAAAAAAATGTATCTACAAACAAAAACTAATTTTGACCTAATTCAGGTGGCCCGTTTGAGAAATTCTGACCCATTTATCTTTTAAACAAATATTTAAAACCAAAATAATGTGTTTTTATTTATTAATCAATTAAAATCATATACCTATAACTATAATAATAGGTATATGATTAAAATGGATTAATTGTAGATGCGTAGAAAGTGGACGTGACAACATGCAGGCGCATGCGCGTTGTCGTCCTAGGTTGGTAGCACTGTTTCAATTAACAAACGCCATATTTGTTGGGATTGCGTTCGTGGGAAGTGTCCCACTTTCTCTTTAAGTGACAAATAGCGATTTGTGGTCGTTTGAAGTGATTTTGGCGGTTGCAAAGCGCGAAATTTCGCAAGATGACGGCTCACGATCAAATGCGAGCCATGCTGGACCAGCTTATGGGCACTGGACGAAATGGTAAGGAATTGATTTTTTTTAGTGCAGTGGAGTTTATTGTGAAACAGATTCCTAGCATCAATGTTGGTTACTCTATTATTGGATGGATGTCGCTTTAAATTAAATTGTTGACGTTTTTTTTTTCTGCCTAGGTGAGAATAATAGATTCCATGTGAGGTTCAATGATCCAAAGGTGTGCAAATCCTTTTTGTTGAGCTGTTGTCCTCACGAGATTCTCTCCTCAACGGTATGTAGCCAATTTTGTTGTATTCCTATGTTAATTTCACTTCTCATTAAGTGTCATGTTCATCATTCCGACCGTAGATTGTACCATATTAATTAATTAATTATAACAATAATAATAATTATGTTTAAACGCAATTACAACAGGAATTATTCGGTTCTCCGTACACTAATAAAGCACTGTGTTTTCAGAAACTTCACAATTTTCTAAATAAAGATGAGGATAGGTGTTAGTTTTGTATGTAAGTACTATGACGTACGTATAAAATATGAATTATTAGGTTTAATTAATGTTGATATAGTAAAACGAAAAAAAAATCGCAAACAATGGTACCTTTTGGGTAAATTTTCCTGAGAATGCATAGGCAACTTTTTTTTCCTCTTTCAATATATTTTATTTTTAAAACATCATTCTATTGAAAAACTTTAGAATGGTGTTTTCAACAAAAGTAAACCTTATTGAAAAAGAAAAAAAGCCTTTTGCAATTAAAATCAACAATAAAGAACAACTTTTCAAAAAATTACAAAAGTGCAACAATTTTGCAGAAAATCGTTCTTAATTGTTTCTGATTTTGTCAATGATGATTTTGGTAAGAAATATGTAGCATTATTATTTTTCTTGTGGCTGAATCAATTTAAAATTTTTGTATACAGCTCTGCATTGCCATGAAAAAACCTTCCATATTTTTTTAAAATCACGCAAATTCGTTTCTATTCACTATGGGCGCATTAAACATTTTCACGCTGGATCTAGCACCGCCTGAGCTACATATAAAACCGCTCAGGCAAATTTATCGACCGGTGCTAAATCCAGGTTCCGAATGTTTTAATATCTGTACACGTTCGTGAAATTAATTCAAGTAAATATTGAAGCTTATTAACAAGGTTTTTCTGTAGTGAAACAGAGCGAGAATTAAATTTATTATTTCTTTGTTACCTATTTATAGAAGCACCGCATATTTGGCACTCAAATTATAAACAAAATAATAAATTTAATTAATTACATGATTTGATTTTAAAAACCACATTTTTTAAGTGTATTCAAAGGTGTACTTTTTGGTAAGTAAAAAAATAATCAAGAATTCTTAAATTCATATGCATGTACTACATACAAAATAAACAATTTTGCTGGAAAGGAATTTTGTGAGTATAAAAAACAGAAATTATGGATTGCAAGCAAGGATTTTTTTGAAATATTCGTTAAATGTTCACTAGGTTTTTCAAAACTAATAAAACTGTGAACTTTTAACATTTATTTTGAGCAATTTCTGCATTCCATGGCTCGATTTTCATTCCAAAGTGTACAGGGCCATTTTTGTGAGTATAACAAAACAAAAAATCAAAAGTTAAAATTCGTAACCTGGATAAAAATCTTCATCGAAAACTTGGTGCGTTTTAAAATAAAATTTATATATTTTAATCACTTATACCCTCTAAAATAATGTACAAAAAAAACAAAAACAAACAAATCCACATGTCCATGCGTGCGATTTAGGATTCTATCGATATTTTTGTGGACATTTGACCATGCTTTGTAAGTTTATCATTTTTATATTACATTTATCAATATTGTTAAACACTTAGGGTTTCTTTTTTGTTTTTTAAATAAAATAGGGGACATTCTACTTATACCAGTAAAAAAATAAGAAGTATTGAAAATACGCATTTTTTTCTGAGGATTATTGTTTTCTTATTTTAACATTTTTAAAGTAAAATGTCCCTAAGAACACAGCAAATAGGTTTTATTGTTTTATTGTCAACTTTGAAAGGGTAATATAAAATTATAGAAAATGTCTAATGAAAAAAATATGACCTACTGTGCAAATTTTTTCCACTATTTTTATTTTATTTATTAATTAATATTTTCTGAAATTCAAAATATAAATTAAACAAATTGGTTTTTTTGTATTTTAATCTAGAATTCAACTAAAATATTTTTTTATAGTTTTAAAGATAAGTAAGACATAAATATTAATTTGCAATAAGTTGTGGCCTTGAATTTATCAACTAATTATTTTAAATTTATTTAACAAAAAAAAAACTTGTATGCGTTATTTTAATTTAATATTTTTCTATTCGCTGTGTTCAAAAATTAAAATTCATATACGTTAAATCGTATATTTACTGTACCCTTCTATGTATGTGATTTTTTTTTATTTGAAGAGGTACAATGTCGGTTCAATAAGAGAAAAGTTGCGTAATTACAAGTCTATTAAAATGGCATTTAAAAAATAAAAACCAAACAGTGGTTCTCATATAATTTAAAAAATATTGAAAACCTGTCAAAACCAAAAATCGTTTATAACTTCGTTATTTCTTTTTTTTTTAAATGATTTGACTTTTTTTTCATATTTTAAATGCTATTTTATTAAAATAAGTCAACTTTGGTAGCTACCATTTTTTTAATTGAAGAGCTAGCTCTTCAATTAAAAAAATACCCATACATAGAAGGATACTTGGTGCACTCTGTATACTAGGGTGGGCCAAAAAACGACTAATTTTTTTTCGAGTTTCCTATCAGAATATGTTGGTCAAAATAGTCAAAGTTCGATTTTTTTTAATTTAATGTTTCTGCAAAGTTTTAAAATATTAATTTTTTGTATGCACATTTATGGCTCAAAAACTTATTTTGAGAAACTCATAAAAACTAAGAAAAAATAGAATTTTGACTATTTTTGAAAAATTTAAAATTTCTAAGGAAACTAGAAAAGTAATTGATTTTTGTAGAGAGCCTTTAAAATATGGGCCGCCCTACTGTATACATTGTACATTTGGCAGTATTTTTTTACAATTAAATCAAAAATTTAAACCTGGATGTACATTCTCAATGTGTGTTACTTCCAGTTGTTAAGCTTTTCAATAAATGCCAAGTATACATTTATTAAAAAGAAAAAATAATAGCCGGTATTTGTTTGTGGCAAATTAGTTTTTAATTGGTTTTTTTGACAGCGCATGGACTTGGGAGAATGTCCGAAAATTCATGATTTGGCTTTAAGGGCCGATTTCGAGAAGGCCCAGCAGTCCAAAGACTACTTCTACGATTTAGACGTAAGTATGGCTAAACATTTATTTTCCTACTACCACCTTTAAATTTAAATCATTTTTTAGATAATATTTTTGTAGAAAAAGTATAATATGCAATTCGTTTATAAACTTTTCAAGGCGCTCATTTAAGTATGCACTCGATCGCAAGCTCGTTAAATTCGTGACTAAAATGGCGTTTATCAAACTTGATACATAATATACTATTTTTTTTGCGCGTATTTGAATTTTCAAATTAAATCACTCGTTCCCATGACAATAGTTATTTGTTTTACAAGTGTTGAAAAGCGACTTTTTCATGCGAGTTTTTAAGTTGCCCACGAGGCCGTTAGGCCGAGTGTGCATTAACACGAGCTTGAAGAAAGCTTTTCTCACAAGTATAACACAATGTTTTTTCTGCGACCCTTTTATTTTTTATTATTTTTAAATACAAAACAAAATAACCTAAAAACTTTTTTGACAGCTGAATGTCAAACGATGCTGTCAAATTCTTTTCACACAGACCTGTCACTTTTCACACAGAAATGTCACTTTACATTCGTGTTTTGCCTTGCCAATGAAAAGATGCCATCATGAAAAGTGAAAAGTGACTCGTAGAAAAAATTATTTTTGTAAAAAAATGTGTTTTTCCTACCTTTAACCATAACCCACAAATTAACCTTAAAATTGAAAGAATAAGGTTTATTTCTTACAAAAGAGGAGTAAAATGGTTGTTCTTAGCACTTAAGGCCTCATTTGAGGCTGACAAAGGCCTCATTTGAGGCTGACAAGTGCCTCTGTCAGAAACACAACGTTTAAAACTATTATTAATCTGTACAATTGTTTAAACACAAAGCACAAGAATTGTAAACAACAAAAATGGCCACCGTTAAACTCTATGCAGTGTTGCAGTGATTTTTAGTATTTTTAGTAACACACCTTGTTGCGTGGATTGTGGATATAAGCACATAAAGTGTTAAATATATGTTTGAATTTTGAATTGTACTTTTAATTTGACGTTTATACTGTCATACAATATTAAAAAAATACATAAAACTAGTTAATTTTCCTATTGCTTGTAGAAAAAACATTGTGCGAAAACACTTGCGGAAAGTGTCTTTTCCGCACTCGACTTCAGTCGCGTGCGGAAAAGTAGCACTTTCGGCACTAGTTAGGTAAATAGCTGTTTTACAAAAATATCACGGCATTCTCTGTAGGCCATGGAGCACCTGCAGGCGTTCATCAGCGACTGCGATCGCCGCACGGAGGCGGCCAAGCAGCGCTTGGCCGAAACTCAGGAGGAACTGTCGGCCGAGGTGGCCGTGAAAGCGAACAGCGTGCACGAGCTGGCCGAGCAGATCGGCCAGAAGCTGGCCAAGGCCGAGCAGCTGGGCGAGGAAGGGTTCGTCGAGGAGAGCATGAAGCTGATGGAGGAGGTGGACGAGCTGAGGAAGCAGAAGCTCGAAGCAGAGCAGGAGTACAGGAACTCGATGCCGGCGAGCAGCTATCAGCAGCAGAAGCTGCGCGTGTGCGAGGTTTGTTCCGCCTACCTCGGCATACACGACAACGACAGGCGATTGGCCGACCATTTTGGCGGCAAGTTGCATCTTGGCTTCATCAAGATCAGGGAGAAGCTGGCCGAACTCGAGGTAAGTCTTAATATTAATCAAACAACTTTTTTAATTCAAACCTTGGTTTTTGTGTCATATTTCGCACCAATTTGAAATTTTAAGAATGTTTAAAAAAAATCTTTTTTTCTTCCAATTGCGACGGATTTAATTTTTTCTTCAGTTTTTTTATTGTTTAGTTTTTTTTTCAGTTTGTTCTTTAGTTTCTTATTTGTTTTCTTTTTCCATTTCTTCCATAGTTTCTTTTTCAGTTTTTTATTTAGTTTCTTCAATTTATCATTCAGTTTCTTTTTTGGTTTCTTCTTAATTTTTTTCTTTAGTTTATTCTTTGATTTCTTTTTTTTTTTTCTTTACTTCCTTTTTCAGTATCTTTTGTTTTTTATTTAGTTTCTTCTTTAGGTTTTCATTTAGGTTTTTTGTTTCTTTAATTTTTTTATGCAGTTCCTTCTTTGGTTTTTTTTTAAATTTTTTCTTTACTTTATTCTTCAGTTTCTTCCTTAGTTTCTTTTTCAGTTTCTTCTTTGTTTTTTTTTTTCAATTTTTCATTCAATTTCTTGAGTTTTTTTATTTAATTTCTTATTCAGTTTCTACCTTGCTTTTTTCTCATTTTTTCTTTAGTTTATTTTTTAATTTCTTTACTTTCTTCAGTTTCTTCCTTAGTTTCTTATTCAGTTTCTTCTTTGGTTTCTTCTTAATTTTCTTCTTTAGTTTATTTTTAAATTTCTTTAGTTTTTTTTCAGTTTCTTCTTTGTTTTTTCTTCAGTTTCTTCTTCAATTTCTCATTCCGTTTCCTCAGTTTTTTCTTTAATGTTTCATTCAATTTCTTTAGTTTCTTCTTTGGTTTCTTCTTATTTTTTTCTTTAGTTTATTCTTTAATTTCTTTAGTTTTTTCTTTACTTTCTTTTTCAGTATCTTTTGTTTTTTATTTAGTTTCTTCTTTAGGTTTTCATTTAGGTTTTTTGTTTCTTTAATTTTTTATGCAGTTCCTTCTTTGGTTTTTCTTAAATTTTTTCTTTACTTTATTCTTCAGTTTCTTCCTTAGTTTCTTTTTCAGTTTCTTTGTTTTTTTTTTCAATTTTTCATTCAATTACTTGAGTTTTTTTATTTAATTTCTTATTCAGTTTCTTCCTTGCTTTTTTCTAATTTTGTTCTTTAGTTTATTCTTTAATTTCTTTACTTTCTTCTTTGGTTTATTCTTTAATTTCTTTACTTTCTTCTTCAGTTCCTTCCTTAGTTTCTTATTCAGTTTCTTCTTTGGTTTCTTTTTAATTTTCTTCTTTAGATTATTTTTAAATTTCTTTAGTTTTTTTTTTCAGTTTCTTCTTTGTTTTTTATTCAGTTTCTTCTTCAAATTCTTTAGTTTTTTTCGTTAGTTTCTTATTCACTTTCTTCTTTGGTTTCTTCTTAATTTTTTTCAGTTTCTTCTTCAAATGTTCATTTAGTTTTTTTTGTAGTTTCTTCTTCAATTTCTCAATCAGTTTCTTCTTTAATTTTTCATTCAGTGTTTTTCTTTAATTTCTTATTCAGTTTCTTCTTAATTTTGTTCTTTAGTTTCTTATTTAATTTTTTTGGTTTAGTTTCTTCTTCAATTTCTTATTCAGTTTTTTTCTTTAGTTTCTTCTTTAATTCGGTTTCTTCTTTGGTTTCTTCTTATTTTTTTCTTTAGTTTATTCTTTAATTTCTTCAGTTTCTTCCGTAGTTTCTTTTTTGGTTTTTTATTCAGTTTATTCTTCAATTTCTCATTCAGTTTCTTCTTTGGTTTCTTCAATTTCTTCAGGTTTTACTTTATTATCTTCAGTTTTCTTTAGTTTCTTCAGGTAAGCACTTCAAAACCTGTTTACTGAGAAGGTGAAAGAGAATTGCTTTTTGACCATACTGTATAAAATTTTATTACAAAATTATCGTTTTTTATCGATTTTTGAGTATGCCTAATTCAGAAAAGCCATTTTTTTATTTATTTTTATTTAGTCTATTTTTAAATAACCGAATTGTCGCCAATCAAAATGAAACACGCTGTATTTTATGTGGAGTAAAGTGACTTTTTTTTGGCACAAAAACTGACACTTTAGATCCTTACAAAATAACTAGCTGTCAAGCCACGGGCTTCGCCCCGATTTATTGTTTGGCATTATGTAAACCTGAAATAAAACGAGGTTTTAAGGTGCAATGTTCTCGTGCAAAAGTGTCGAGCGTAATCGAGCGTAATTCTCTTGCAGAAAAACTCGGACAAACGCAAAGAAGAGAAGCGCAAGGCGAACAAGGACCGCGACCGCGGCGACGACCGCGAGGACCGCTACCGCGAACGTTACCGCGAACACTACGTCGGCGGTCGCGAGCTCGACCGGCGCTCGAAGCGGCACCGGTCGAGGTCCCGCGAGCGCAAGGAGCGAGAGAGGGTCGGCGGGGATAATAGGGTCGGCGGGGATAACAGGGGCGATCGCAGGCGGCGCTCGCGGTCGAGGAGCCGCGAGCGCAGCGAGAGGAGCGAGCGCAGCCGCAGGTCGCGATCGGGGCACTCGAGCCCCACAGATAAGCCCGAGAGGGGGGAGCGCAGCGACAGGAGGAGGGACAGAGACAGGGATTAATGCGACTTTTAATAGCATCACTTTAGAGTCGACTTTTCTCGACGACATTTAGGCAGTAAGGTACCTATCGACATAATCTTTCATTTATTTAGTTCTCTGTATAATCTAGGTAAATTCTTGGAGTTGTTAAATTATTTGTACGATCGTTTGTGAGAGAATAAAATTTGCGTGGCTGAGATTAGTTTTAATTTCTGATGTGTTACACTATGGTTTATAATTTGTTTTATTTTACTTGATTTTATTATGTATCAATAAAGATGTTTCTTCACATTGTTTTTTTTACTTGACATTAAAAAAATCACTGCCATGAAGTTAAACAGACAATCAATTGTTTACTTGTTTGCTGCTGGAATAGTTGACCGAATTTGTGTGACTGAGTTTTTTTTATTTAAATTTGTGTACTTGACACAAAAATAGTGAATTATTTAATAGATTTATTATTGTATTAATAAAATATATGTTCTTTAATTATGGTATATTAATTTTTATTATTCCCCTTTTTGCATTATAAAAACTAAAAGTTTGAATATAAATGATTTATAAAAAATAACAAATATGTTTTTCAAATTTCATTCAAAAACGAACAAATTGACTATTTTCCAAATTTCTTTCATTATTTGTATTAAAAAACTATACTTTTTATTTATTTTATAAGGCACTCTTTCAAGTCAATTTAATCACTTACGTATGTAAACATAAATGGATACAAACAAAAAACTAAGATAGCCATGCTGAAAACAAAGAAACGTGGTTAAATAAACTTGTCTCATATAGTTATTAATAGTTTATTTTTGATGAAATTATAATTAACTTATAAGTTTGTACCCATTCTCTTATTTTTCTCCTAAACCTCCTAAATGTGTTTTATTTTTCGTTATAAATATTTAAAAAAAACTAGTTGTTAATTGATAGTTTTTAATAAAATTTGGTTTGTACCCATTTTGAAGCATGCCGCATTCAGTGGCGTATTTTTTTTTTTTTTTCGAAAAAAATGACCCTAATAATTTTTTTAGCTTAGATAAATTTTTTTATTCTCTATCTTTTGAGCCTTTGTTCATTAAAATCAAGCAACAAATAAAAAAGTTACGGGGGTGTTTCCATCTTAAATGGGCCACACTGTATGTTTCAAATTTAAAATTACTTAATTTAATATTCCTTTAAACACGTTTTACATCTAGCCCAGTTCCCAGAATTACTGGACTTGTTAATTAAATTAAAATGAACCCAAAGTGGTTTTTTATTTTTGGAAAGACGGGGAAACACCGCATTGTAAGCAGCATTATATAATACGCTGTTGTCGGCGCAGCGCCATACATTTTAGAAAGAAAAAATATTTATAAATATCAGGATAAATATTGTCACATAAATATTATGATATTTATCACTGATATATATATATATATTTTTTTTTTTAAATTTAGTTCCACCCTTACATCCAAACTAAGATGTCCCATAAGCCAACTGAATGGCTTGTGCGGGTTAGGGGTAGGAACGGACCGACGGCTTAAAGTCCCCTCCGAAGGACTATACACAATGGACAAACACAAATAAACAACCATACCCAAGTGGGATTCGAACCCACGACCTCTCGGCTCGTACCCAGGAGCTCTGACCACTACACCACCGAGGCCAGCCCTGATTTTTTTGTTATAAAAATAACTTTAGACAAAATAAAACTAATATTAACATTAAAAATACTAAATTTTATTTACATTTCTACACTTGGAGCTTGTCTGCTACTTTTAACATCTGATCTCTGTCTTTTTATTGCTAAACGTTCCCGAGCTGCTCTTTCAAATCTAAAACATTACAAATAGGCAAGATATTTCCACACAAAAAAATTAAAAAACTATACATACCTTCTCCTAATTTTTTCCTCAGTTTCTGGAGTGGGTTCTGGCTTCTCATACAATGAATTCCTTATGGAACACCGGATTTTCTCCAAACAATCTGCCAAATTCAATTGCTGTGATCTCGTTAGATCAGAGCGGAAGACTAGGTAACCTTCTTTGGTGATTTTTTCTTTAAACTGCAATACAAATATTTATAATTTGTATTTATCATTTTTAACTTACTTTTTCTAATAATTTCGGTTTTATGTCGTCATTTATCCATTTGGCAGACTCAATTTTAAACCTAACATCAACTTTTGTGTTGACTTTATTCACATTTTGACCACCAGGCCCCGAACTACGGCTGTAAGTTATATCTAACTCTTCGATTGGAATAAAGCCACTAAATTTTTCTTTTGGATCCACAGGGGGCTAAAATAAATATTTCTAATAAATTTAACATAACATACATATTATATAACATACTTTCGCGGGCGTAATCAATTTTGCACTGCTATTGGGGTACAAATTTTCCAAGGATAGTGCACTTTTGTAGGCTACTGTTCTGCTTAATAAACTTGAAAGCAATGAGTGGTGGACGAAACGTCCACAATTTTGTGTTAAAGTATTCATTTATTTAAATGTTATTAAGCAAAATAAAATTCTCGGATTTGAGGTTAATCTTCTTCTATTTGCTGTCAAAAATTTGCCAACTTGACAGACCGAAAAGCCACAGAAGTTCTTCTGTGATAAATTAGGAACACCTTATTGGTTTTTAAATATACTATTGTTTATTACGGCAAATATTTTTGTCAATATTTTGTTGTGTATGCGAGTTTCGTTAAAATTAATTGGTTTAATTAATTAACATTCATTGATTTTTGTTACATAGTTGGCCATTGTTGTTGGAGGTCATGACTCGCAGCTACCTTCATAAGTGTTTCTAAGTTTGTAAAGATGTGACTTGTTATCAAATTTACGGTAAACGCTCCAAAATAATTACTAAAATTAATAACAGACATGTAAGTTTGGAAATTATTTTTCTTCTTTTGCCATTATTTTATCGTTCATCATGTCTAAAACTACCACAAACACGGAAGAATCTAGCGATGATTCCTACTTTAGAATATCAAACGCAAGTTCAGTAAATTCAGTTGTATCCGATTATGGCACCAAGACAAAATTCCGTTTTCCCACACCGCCCAGGTTTTCGCATTCCTTAACCCATTCATGCAACTCAGACAGTTCGAACAGTGACTACATTCGAAGTTCGAAGAGAAAAAACAGGAGCTTTGCCAAGAAATTGCCCCCATTGGGCATTTTCTGGGATATCGAAAATTGCCAGGTGCCCAGAGCAAAAAGTGCCTCTGATATAGTACAAAAAATAAGGGGGACGTTTTTGGAAAATTATCGAGAGTCAGAATTTATTGTTGTTTGTGATGTTAAAAAGGAAAACCCCCAACATATTCAGGATTTACACGATTCTCAGGTGAGTTTATTTTAATAAAAATAAAATAACATACATACATACGTACCTACATTTATTGTGCAACAATATACAATAATTAACAATGAAAATGGTTGTTTAAGACAGCTATACCTAGCTTGAATTTACATTCTTAAGGCAGTTATATCTAGCCTAACTTGACATTCTTTATACAGTTATATTCTAGTTTAAATTGACATTCTTAAGACAGTTATAGCTAGCTTAAATTAGCATTCTTAAGCCAGTTATAGCTAGCTTACCTTGACATTCTTAATACAGTTATATTCTAGATTAAATTGACATGCTTTAGACAGCTATATCTAGCCTAACTTGACATTATTAATCTAGTTATATCTAGCCTAACGACATTTTTAATACTTATATTCCAGTTTAAATTGTCATTCTTAAGACAGTTTCTTTTAGTTTAAATGGACATTTTTAAATTCACATTCCTAAGACAGTTATAGCTAGCCTAAATTAGCATTCTTAAGGCAGTTATAGCTAGATTAACTTGACATTCTTAATAAAGTTATTTTCTATCCTAAGTTTACCTACTTTCTTAGGAGTTATTTTCTGGCTGTAATTAACATTCTTGTGACAGTTATATTATAGCTTTAATTTACATTCTTAAGACAGTTATATCTAGCCTAACTTGACATTCTTAATACAGTTATATCTAGCCTAACTTGACATTTTTAATACAGTTATATTCCAGTTTAAATTGTAATTCTTAAGACAGTTATATTCTAGTTTAAATGGAAATTCTTAAATTGATATTCCCAAGACAGTTATAGCTATCTAAAATAAGCATTCTTAAGGCAGTTATAGCTAGATTAACTTGACCTTCTTAATAGTTATTTTCTATCTTAAATTTACATTCCTTAAAGTTATTTTCTGGCTTAAATTTACATTCTTAATACAGTTATGGTTTAAATTTACATTCTTTAGACAGTTATATCTAGCTTAACTTAACATTCCTAATAAAGTTTTATTTAGCTAAACATTCTTGATACAGTTATATTCTGGTTAAATTTTTTACGTTTTTAAGACACTTATATTTAGTTTAATTTAACATTCTTAATACAGTTAGTTATACTTATTCTAGTTTAAATTTACATTTTCAAGACAGTTATATCTAGCTTAACTTGACATTCTTAAGGCAGTTTTATCTAAAAATTTACATTCTTCGAAAATATATATCTAGCTAAACTTAACGTTCTTAATACAGTTATATTCTAGTTTAAATTTACATTCTCAAGACAGATATCTAGTTTAAATTAACATTCTTAATACATTTAGGTATATTCTAGTTTAAATTTACATTCTTAGGACAGTTATATCTAGCTTAAGTTGACATTCTTGAGACAGTTATATTCTAACCTAAATTGACATTATTAAGACAGTTATAACGTCAATCTAATACAGTTATATTCTAGCTTAACTTGTCAGTTTTTATCCAGTTTAAATGTACATTTTTAAGACAGATATATCTAGCTAAACTTAACATTCTTAATACAGGTATATTCTAGTTTAAATTTATATTTACAGTTGTACCTAGCTTAACTTGACATTCACAGTTATACAGGGTGTCCCAGAACTCGCGCCACAGAGAAAAAGGGGGCGTGCCGATAGCAATGGAGATGCCAAATTTAAAAATAAAAAATTTCTAGGTAATAGTGTAATCGAATGAGAGCAAAAAAGCGGCAGCCAATACCGAGAGATCTCGCCTAGGTTAAACGTAGGAGCTTTAAAAATTGCTAGGAGACGATAGAACATTGTTATATTAAAAACATTTAAAAATCTTTTGGCCAACTGTATTTACTAAGTTGTCAAAAGCTTTCAAAAAATGAGGTTATTAATCTATGACTGATACTTCAGAACGCCAATGTTTTAAAGTAAAAATTTTTTACTAAAAAATCAAACCAGTTGTACTTTATTTAGCTTTTGTACTTTATTTAGCTTTTTTTGGGCCCACGCTCCCCATAAATAGTTATCATTTCGGTATACCGTAAATACGGGTGACTTTGCACCCCGCGGGTGACTTTAACCCATTTATGAAAAATCTTTTCGCGCTCGATAAAATTAACATTTATAATTTGTTGGTCTAAACCTGTCAATTGAGCGATTCTATTGAGTTTATATTACAAGAAAATCAGTGTTTTAAAAAAAGAAATGGGATTTATTACACTTAAAAATTGTATATATCGTATCAGTGCAAAACTCTAGAAATACACGCGTTAAAATTTCTATATTATGCGCAATCCATTGGAATGATGATCCTTGGTTAACTACAGGTCGATTCTTTATTTTTTTTATTGGTAATCCCTTGCAATAGATATATGTCGCTGCTAACACGTGTCTAATAAAAATAAAATATAATATTACATTCATTTTATACTGAAAAAACACTGTGAGACAAAGTAACCCGCAACCAGGGGGTAACTTTGCACACCCAGTTTTTAATGTTTATTTTTGAAACTCAGCCCTATGTTATATTATAACATAGTTATTATGAAAGAGCAACTCAAGACTCAAATTTTGGTATACAAAATTTAATGGTTATGATTGTTAAAACCACAAAAATTTTAAGCTGAAGTTTGAAAGTGAGCCAAAGCCACCCGTGTTTACGGTAATCATCAAGGAAAACATTATCTATAATAACTTAATTTATTACCTAATATAATATTAATGACAGGAGTAAAGATTGACAGCAGTTTTACAATGAATTAAATTCCAGTGGACCAAATATTTTACATATTTTTTATTATCAACAATGCAACCTAAGTATCCTAGCAATTTAAAGAATTCCCTGTGGTGATCTATTGGGATTGGCTATCGTTTTTTATTCTTATCTCCCTTATCCTTTGCGTTGGACAATTTGAATTTTTAAATATGTGTTTCAAATTACTTTCGGTACGTTCCCTTTTTCTCTGTGGCGCGAGTTCTGGGACACCCTGTATCTAGAATGACATTCTTAAAGCAGTTATATTCCAGTTTAAATTTACATTCTTAAGGCAGTTATATTCAAGCTTAAAATGACATTCTTGTCATTTTAGGTAAACTTAATCCACGTGTCGGCCACATCAAAAAACGCGGCCGACGAGAAGCTGCGCCAGTCGCTGCGCAGATTCGCGGAGCTGCACCCGAGCCCGTCGGGAATCGTTTTAATTTCGAGCGACATAAATTTCGCGGCCGACCTGGCCGATCTCAGGTTCCGGAAAAAAGTCCGGGTGATTCTGATACACCAGGTGAGCGTGGCCGACGCGCTGATACTGTGCGCGAACGAGCATCATTGTTTCAAGCAGTTTACGGAGGATTTGCCGGAGCCCAAGGAAAGGGTGAGTCTATAATTTTTATTATTATGATTCAGGTATACCAAAATGGATAGTTTGCCTCTGAGAATGAGATTAACTGAAATTTTATACCTGCAATTGGATTATTGGATTATTTTATTTCCTTATTGTGTTAAATTTTAATAAATTATACAGGTACGGTTGTAGCAGGTATATTTTAAAATAAAATCTTGGAAAAGAAAAATTAAAAAAAAACATTTAGTTTTATTCATCTATTTGTAAATTTTCGCCCACTACAAACACATTGCGCAAAAATTCAATAATTACGTGCCAAATCTAAAAATTAATTTTTAACGTTTTGTTTTGTCACGAAATACAAAAACAAAAACATTCAGGGATTAAATAAATATTTTTTTCGTATTTATATATAGATTTATAATTGATAAGTTATCAAACATTATTTATAGAATTAATTGATTATACAACCGTTTTTGTACAAATATAGATATTACAACGTATTTTTTCTTCTATTACTACCGTTGATTAAATGAAAATAGTTTTAAGATTTTATTATATTGTCTATCCAGTTCTTAATTTATCTGAATAAATATCAACATCTTGATACCTATTTATTTTTTCATTTTATGCTTTTAGTTCCAAAATTAATAAATCAACCAGAATAAAAATGGTTTTTAATAAATTTATTAAAAAAGTTACCAAAACACTTAAAAATCGCAAAAAACCAACCAAGTTTTAAATTAAAAAAATTGATTATTTTTAATCCTCATATTTTAATTTTTGGATTTTGATCATTTTAAAGAACTCTCCCCGTCCTTTTTAGCATTAGGGTTAAGTCAGTCATAGCTAACTTAACTTGACATTCTTAATACATTTATATTCTATCTTAAGTTTCTGAACAGATATTTTCTGACTTAAA